GGAAATTGATCCAGGGAAAACTTTTGTATACACCCGGTTTTCAGTAATTTACTGTATATCGGGTACACTTTTGTCAGATTTAGTGTCACTTTTGTCAGATTTAGTGTCACATTTGTCAAATTTTTCAATGAAGCATAAATAACTTTTATATATGTCAGGGTAACTTTTGTGCGTTTTAGGTGTAACTTTTGCACATTTTATTGTCACTTTATAACAAATGTTCAGTAATTTACTGAATATCCGTTTTATTTAAAAGTTTGTCTTGATCCAGTGAGACCCACTCCTACAAAGCCCGGGAATTTTTCTAATTATACTTTATCAAGGATGATAACAATGACTATCTCATCACCCACAACCATCTGCATTGTCGCTATTGCCTCCTCTTCTCTCCTAGTTGCCGCTTCCTCTACCCAGCATTTCCATACTTGACCGTGCTTGCTCTCTTTCTCCCGCCAATAATCGCCACTGTGCATTGCAATAAGCACTACCATGACTGATGGAAAGGTGCATCAACTTTTATTCATTTCAGTCTGTATCAATAATCGTTTTCACCACAAAATATCTAGGTCTGGAACTTACGTAGGAAAAAGCCAAAGAGCAACTTTCCAGTGGTTCATGATCAGGACAAAAAGGTGATGTTAAGAGGGGGGGTGTGAGGGGAGGGTGATTGATTTTAAAGGAGTATAGAAGAGAAAGAAGTATTATAGAAGGAGGGTGGAAAGATATATTAATGGGGGGAAGATTTTGAGGAGAAAGGTGAGAGCGATGAAAGGTGAATTGCCCCGGGGGGGGATGAGGAGAGTGAAGATTGCTTTGGAGGTGCAATAGGAGAGAAAGAAGTGTATGAAAAGAGGAAGGTGATGGAGGAGTTGGAGGAGAAAGAGGAGAGAGATGAATGGTAGATTCTGGTAGAGAAGAGAGTGAAAAAAGAGGAAGCTAAGAGGCCACGATGAAGGTGGGGAGAGATAGGCCGTTTTGGGGAGTAGGAGTGTATCAAAGAGAAAAAGGGTTGGTTGATGGGAGGAGATCATAGGTGTTGGTATGGGGATGGGGATGGAGGGGGGTTTTACTTTTTCACTAAACACTAAGTTTTAGGTATTGAGCGATGTATAAGGAACCTCAATGCGCACTAAGGTGATGGGGTCCTGTTGCGCTTAATTGCACCTCATTGAAGTGAGGTGCACTATGTAATAACTCAAATAAATTTTTTGATATGAATCTCAGAGTCGTGTGTGCCTCCTAATTTAAAAAACAAAAAAGCGCTCTATCCCAATTGCCTAGAGCTTTGCAAGGAATCAGTATTTAGGGGAAGGGTATGCTAGTCATAGTCTATTAGTAGTAATGATAGGCTTATCGCGTACCTAACAAAAATAACCTAACTATTCCTTCTAACTGTGTAGTAGGGCAAGTAAGGATCGAATCCCAAGAGACTATGGTTCATTCAATTAATCAGACTCAATTAATCACTAAGCACGTCACCAATCAATAATGGATGATAATAATCAACTAATATATTAAATAACACAATTAACTAGAGGAAATATTAATCAATAAACTAAAGCATCCAAGATCAAGCATTACCACGATTATGATTGATAAACTAATAAATCTACCCCCAATATATAAATCAATTGACAAGAAGAAAAGCAATCCCTAATAATAATACCAAAGGTCTCTTCCAAGTTATCAATGGCTTCCCAAATTAACTATCAAGCCTACTTCCGTGGAATCAAGCGAATAAGGGACATTAAACACCATGCCTAGATTCCTAATTATTCAATCATCTACTTCCGTGATGATCTTCAAACCCTTAATTGGAATAACCTAATCCCGTTAATACCCAACTTCCGTTGCAATAAGAACAAAGGGATGATAACAATACTAATTATTCCTAATCTAGTATTGGCATAAACACAATCAATTAAGCATGTCAATTGGGATTATTATTGGGGAATTTAAAGTTTTAATTCATGCATCAATCATAATTGGGCTACCCTAGATCTTGGAATAGAAAATCTACTCACACATATTGAAAGAAACAATAACAATCATGAATATGGAAAACATAATTGAAAAGCAATTATAATTGAAAGAGAATGAAGTAGAAGTGAATACCAAGGATTCTTCAATTGAAAGGAATTAAATTGTTGAAAAACAATGCTCAAATCTAATGGAAAGAATTAAAATTGCTTCAAAGTAATAAACTAGAACTCTAGAGAGAGAAAGAGGAATAATGGAAAACTTAAAACTTCTTTCTAATGAAGATTACAAGGGGTATTTATACCCTTAATGACCTAAAAATAAGAAAATAATAATACGGAGTGTCGCATAACTGTGCCCGGTCCAACCGGGCAAGCACCTCCCGATCGGGCGGTGAGAGTACGGAGTTGCTTTCCTTCGTAGCACTTCTTCCACCACGTGCCCGGTCCAACCGGGCTGACCTTGCCCGATCGGGCGCGTGGGGCGGTCTTCATAAATTGCTTTCTACCTTCGAAAATACCAAAATCATCTAACTCCTATGTGCCCGGTCCAACCGGGCGGACCATGCCCGATCGGGCACGTAGAGCTGCAGCAAATAGTTTGTATTTAACTCATCTTAATCAGTCATAACTTCATATCGGAGCTCTGTTTGAGGCGTGTAATATATCGTTGGAAAGTCTTCAAGTCTACTTTCCAATGCAATTTGAATCACTCCATTATCATTTGTATATCAAAAGTTATGAGCATAATAGTGAACAGGTGTCATATTTGTCAAGTATTTCATCAACGTTTTGCTTCATTTTCACTCAAGTTCGTCTCGAACACATGATTTGATATTCTTAAGCAATATGTTTTCATACTCCATGATTATTATACTCAATATTAGCCAACCATACTCCATTTGCATATAAATCACCTGAAATTCATCAAAACACACAAACGAAGAGTAGTAGAGCACAACTTAAGCAAATAATGCAAATATGCACCAAAGATCTCTAATTTTGTAATAAAATGAGCTTAGATACCCACCTAAAACATGTGCAAAATAGGACTTATCAAATTCCCCAAGCTAAACTCTTGCTTGTCCTCAAGCAAGACAATTAACAATAATCAACAACAATCAACAACCAAACAACATGCTTCACCCCATAATGCAAAATCAAACAAGGATTCAAAATCGAAATCAAACGAGCATGCATCCTAATCAACCAATCAAATTACTCAAACCGTCGATCCACCTAATTAATCGTCAAATGAGACCAACCATTTATAATTCAAGAATCGAAGACTAGAGTATCTCACATCGGTGGTCACTCAACACACTTTTTATGTGGCGAGCTAAAAATGAGCTCGATCTCTCACCATCCCCACCAACAATGCAATCCCCCCATCTCACAACACTCGCGTGTTTAGAGGGTTATAATAACGCTCAACCTAGTCAATGTCGACTTGAAATGCAACATATACTCCAGCATTTTGACAAAAGACTCAATTCACATGAACGCAATGCTATGCACGAAGATCGGAAGGACTTTGTGAAGCTTGTAACGTAGGTCGGGAATAAGAATGGGTAGGACAATAATTTGGGGAATGAGAGCTATAATAGTCTAACCGGGGGAACTATCAAATGCGATGAGTCACACCTCGATTCATCAACTTCGATCAATGAAACACAAACCCAATTACAATGAAAACACAACCATCATCTCATCCACCTACATTCTCAACTCTTCAACCTTCTTTTACTTGTTTGCTTCATTTCTTTATTTTTTTTTTTATCTTTTTATTTTTTTTATTTCAATCCAACAATTTTTCATTTGAAACTTTTTCCAAATATTTTTCTTTCTTTTCTTTATTTCTCTCTTTCTTTTTCAAGAAATGTTACTTTTTTTTTTTCAAGTAATTCAATCAAACCTCCTTTTCTCACTTTTTCTCTTCTTCTTCCTTTTCTTTTCAATATTTTCGCATCAATTGCAACTTGAAACAGAATCACGCAAAAATACCGCATAAAATAGCTCCCCCAAGCTAGACTTGGGAAAAGTAATCAAATTGGGCCAAGGGGTAATTTTTGTGGAGTTAATGAAAAATATAGTCAAGCTACAACATGGGTAAGCAAGAAGGGAACTGATGTTCTAATTTTGTCTGGAGGCTACCTAATGAACATGGCCTTCGTCATTTCAATGTGCACGTGCAATGTATTACGACACACTACTAAGAGTCTAAAGTCAAAACTAAGATCAATGCTACACCAGGAACTAAACACACACAAGAATGAATATATAAGGCTCAAGCCTCACGGTTAACACAGTCAAGCTCCTGAATCATACATAGTTAAATAACCTTGGATCCTTCAAGGTCAATCATGATCTTTTAGTCATATGCAAGTCTTTTAGTCACTATGCAAGTCTTTCAATCGAAAATAAATCAAAACCTTTTGGCATAAAGGATGTCATTTTCATTAGTTCCATCAAAGTACTTTCAAGTGCAACTAGTTTGCCATTCATTTCACTCAATGTCTCGTCTTCGAACTTTTACATGATTTGTAAATTTTAATCAACAAGATTAATGAGGCAATATAGTTTGTCATACATCACAATGATATAATGCGTGATCACTGCATTATATTAGTTCCAGTAGTCCATACTCCATTTTTGCACACGTTATTGCATTTATTATACACTCTAAATTCGTCATACGAACGAGATTGAAAAATTGAAATATTAAATATATAATTCAATTTGATTAATATACATAATCTACACATGAATATATTATAGATAAAAAATAGATAATAAAAAAAACAAATAATTAAAAAAAAGAATAAAGCAAACATACTAGAAAATAATAAAAAAACCATTGCATATAAATCACCTGAAATTCATCAAAACACACAAACGAAGAGTAGTAGAGCACAACTTAAGCAAATAATGCAAATATGCACCAAAGATCTCTAATTTTGTAATAAAATGAGCTTAGATACCCACCTAAAACATGTGCAAAATAGGACTTATCAAGTAACTTGGGGAATAAGTTAGAGGTTTGTTAGGAGGGATTTTCTATAAATAGGTCTCATTAGGAGGGAAGAGGACATGCTGAATATTGTGTGCTTTGTCATTGGGAGAGAGTGAAACTCTTGAAAGCTCATACTCAGGAGAGATTCCATCTCTCGAAAGTAAAATTATCTGATTTGCTGTAATTCTCATCTTATCAATATAATCATCATTTTCTTTTTATTTTCTGCCGCTGTTAGTGCTGTAAGCTATGTCAGTTCCTAGCACGCCTCCATGCCTTAATCGTGCTTTTCCATACACTGGTATTGAGTTTAAAAATTGGATTTGTTTAGTGTAGAGAGTGTAGTTGATGTGAAAGGTTATTGAATCTAGAATCTGATGTTGTGTAAGTATGGTTGAGGAAAGGTAATTAATGACTAATAATTAAATTGATAACTATCACTCCATCCTTTTATGATTGATGGCATAGACCAATAACAATTCAACAAAGAAAAAAGTGGGGTTAGTGGACTACATGTAATTCTTGACTAATTGGAGAGAAAATTTGTCATTTAACATGCATTTATTCCATTGCTAATATTTATTTTCATTGATTGTTTGTAGAGTGACCTTGATTCTTTTGTTGTTCAAGGTTATACTTTAATTTTAAAGGGCAAAATTGTTCTTGTTGTTGTTGGACAGGTGATGATCTATTCACCTTTGATCACTCCAATTCACGTCATATATACAGTAATGCACATATGCTAAGGTAAACGCTTCGTTATCAGAATTTTTTTTTAAGATTCGATTTTGTAATTTCTGCATAATCCTTACATTTTTGTAATTTTTGCATGATCTTTACTTGTCTATTATATGATAAGCATATAATACCAAAGTTTAGAGGTTAGGATTGTTTGGGTCCTGCTATATTGGAAGTGTTATGGGCTGTTAGTTTTTTATGTTTTCAGCGGTGAATGTGATTTAAATAAGGCTGGGTTTTAATTTATAAGTGACTGAAGAGAAGTTTGCCGGTCTTTTCATCAACTATGGGCAGGTATTTGATTTCATTGACCAATACTATCAACAATTGGACCTATTTGCTTTTGAATTTGTTGATTAATTCTAGGAGTAATAGTTTTTCTTAGTGTTTTTTTGTTGAGTTCTATGATTAGTTCTTAAAAGTGTTGTATTCTTTATAAGGTGGATGATTGCTGTGTTTGTGGTGACCCAAATTATGTGCTTCTTTCCGCTTTTGTTGAGTTCAAATATGAGGTTAAAGCATTGATCACAACCTTAATTAAGCTTAAAATCAAGACTTGTTTTACAAATCAACTTGTTTTGTGGTGTTGCAGATGGTGCACAAGTTGCATTGAGTCTGCCAGGTACTGTGCTTGGCTTTTATCCAATCAAAGTTCTTTCTTCTGAAGACTGCAATTGAGTGTTGAGAGAAAACTGGGTTTAGCTGGTAGAGATGAAAGTCTCTACACTCCACTACTGTCAGTTCTATCAAATTCAAGCTTCTCAGAAAGGTAATTTATAGGTTTTGTAGATTTGTAATGATTGATATGATTCAAGTTCTTCTTTAAACAATAAGCGTTGATTAAATTTTATTAGTTTTATGGATTTGTTTCATATAATTTCATAAATATAATGATTGATGGTATTTTGATTTTTGGGTCATGTAAATTTTGATGAATTATTTGAGTTAATGTCATTTTTGGAAATTTGAGATTCTAATTTTTCTGTGTATTTTGTATTGTAGGTATTTAGTGATTCGAACACTTTTGTTCCAAGGAAGCTTGTTCGAGTAATTTTGTCTTTTTAATTTTATAGTTTTTTTTTTTTTTTTGGTGGAATGATAATTGAATATTTCTAAAAAATTTTAGTAAATGAATCAAGGGGTCTTTTTAAAAATAATATGAAACTTTAAATTTGGGGGTTATTTTAACAATTTTAATTTTAAACCTGGGATATTATGCATTTATGCTGTCAAATAATATTATGTTCTTCTATGATAATGAAAATAATAGCTCTGTCACCCCACAATTTCTATGTTACTGCTGGAGTTATGTTATTTTGATGTTAATTTCTCACTATTTTAATTTATGTATATGTTATTTTGAAATAAGTACATGTTATTATATACTTGCATGTTGTTTTTTTTTTATCATATAACTAATATATAAAGCTAAAATTTTAGCCAGACGACGAGATAGCGACACTTGGCGTTCTAATTTTTCGCCAAGTGTCGCGCCACGTAGGATAGAGTTATATAGAATTCAATTTGTAGGATAAAAAAATTAATTTAAAATTCTACTTTCAATCACATTTGGATAGAATTTTAGGATAAAATTGTTAATTTAGAGTTTTATTTTCGATAAAATACCAATATTTCATATGTACAAATTAAATTATAATTTTATTATAAAAAATTATAACACTCATAAATTATCATATAAATTTATTTTTTGTATCATAGTATTTTTTTTTTTTGAGCGAAGGATTTAGCTCAAAATGCACCACATCCATTATTTATAGTATATATTATAATCAATTAAAACATTATACTTTACAATCTAATATAATCTAATTACTGTGCGTAGACCTGTAAATCGGGTCGGGTCACGAGTCATTTCGGGCAGGGTCATTATTTTAGGTTACGGGTCAAGAAATGTTTTACACCAATGTTATTATTATTATTAGTCATTACATGCCTACTATATAGTTTAAATCATCACAAAAACACATCAATTCCTAACTAATTTTGTATCAATGATATATTTTAAAATTTGACATATAGATTAAAAATTTATCTTAAAATTCAATAAACAACCCGGGCATCGCACGGGCACAAAACTAGTTTTATTTTTATTTTTAATCTATTTCTGCTTATCATCACTGTTTTGAGGCAAGTGTAGAGTCTGTAGACTGATGCATGGTAATTTCATAGGATTTTTCTTGGTTTTCTTCGTGAATCAATGCTTATTTTGTGATACTAGGTTTATTTTTACATCATCTTGTTGTAATTGTACAGCTGATGTTGAAATAAAATAAAAAAAGAAAAAAAAAAACACACACACACATAATCATTACATATTTGTTGTAAATTAAGCAATTTACTCAATTGAATTTTCAGAGTGTTCTGCCATACTTCAATAATTTTCAATTAAATACTAGCCATTAAATACTCTAACAACAAAATAGGAAATGATTATGCTAAGTGGGTGAACATGGCCCACATAATACTCCATTAAAACTGCTGGTAACTTCTTAGACCTAGGATACTACTTTTATTTAGGAAAATAATCTTCCACTAAGGCACTAGATAATAACGACTAACAACTAAGTCCACTGATTTTGGGGCATTAAGAAACAATACTCATACATAAACTAATGAAATAAAGAATATTAGTATCTTATATCTACTAGCATACTAGATCGACAATAGGGACACTTGTGTTTTCCGGGAAGCCATCTGAAAATGCAGTCGCGATGAAATACGTGGTTGCAACGAGACAAGCTCATTGCATTTTCCGATGACAAGTTGTCAAGACAAATGGAGCAAATAGTATCATTACCGAAATCTTTTGTATGAATCCATTCAACGGTTTGTTTTTGCTTCCTAAACACCCACGGTAATATAATCTCGGAATATTGTACATTAGCGTGGCGCATAAGCTCGGGGTAAAGACATTTAAGGATCTCAACATCATCTTGTTCAAGGCTTTGATATTCAACATTTGTAAAAGGGATTTCATCAAAACTTACATTGTTGAGTTTGGATGGAAAATAAGCATATTCGTTGTCATCGAATATTTCATCAAAATCGTGTGTAGTAATATAGGAATCCTCTTGCTTATTAGCAGTAGTAGTATACACGAACAAAGACTGCTGATCCTCTTGTTGGCAATGCCTTCCATCGATGAGAATATCAAGCACAAACAAAAGTCCGGGATAAGCATCAATATTCCTATGATAACGGAAGCAAGACTTCAAATAGTCCGAAACGTTTCGAGAAATTAACTCTTTTGATTTAGGGCCAATATAATCTTGGATTTCCGAGATTACTTGTTTTGCCAATTCAGAAAAATCACCTCTGTGAATGGCGTAAACTTTGAAATAGACGAGTTTCCTAAGCAGATTTTGATCATATGATTTGAGATTTAGGAGGAATAGCCCTTGATTATACAAGAAAGATGGAGGGAACTCATGGGGAAGGAAGACTCGAAAGAGTTTAACATTATCTAGCTTTGCTTCATGCAGCATCATGTTTATGTTTATGGAGAACCTACTAAACCAAATACAAATATCAAATATTATGATCAAGTATGATTGTTTAAAGCTATGAATAGCTAGTATATTTAATTTATTCTAAGCTAAACCTTGGGCAGTACGCTAACAACTCCTATGTTTCAGAGGATAATAGTAATAGATAGATTTAGGAATTAAAAAATATTGCCAATAAAACTTTCCATAACTTTTACTAATAATTTGTACGTGTTTAATACGGAGTAGGATAATAATGGATAGATTTGGAAAATAGGCGGAAACGATATCCTAAAAGTTACTATATTAAAAAAATCAATATTTGGAAGATTACGCTTAGTATTTCCTACACTGTATAATAATAGCATAACCAAATTAGATAGATTTATAATTCTACCATATTTAAAAAATCAATATTCACAAAGCATTTTTTTTTTTTTTTGGATAATATTGATTTATAAATTAAAGCATGTTAGTTTGAAGGTAACTTTTCACTCGGCCGACCCACCCCTATTACCGAAACCACCCCTCTCCCTTCCCTACCATTTGAATCACCCTCATGTATGAGGCATTTGAGAAGGATACAGTAAAGTATCTTCAGGTGAGACTTTGTTGTCATTGTTTACATTATAGCCTATAATCTACATGTATAAGCTTCCGTTATAGTTGATATGTTTGTTGCTGCATCAAAGCTGCCCATTTATTGATCGAGTAGTCGCTTCGCTTGATGACTATCATTCTTGCCAAGAAATAACTGCTATAATTGATAATACAATCATTTTGCACGTGATATGTGAGGAGTATCCAGTTTGGCAATATCATTCGCTCTGTACTTTGCTAATCTTTTTATTTGGGAACCCTTTGGCTGACTAGATTTAGAAACTTATATATTTTATTTTCAATTGGAGCCGTCAAAGGATTTTGTAGGGAATTTAGGCTTGTTTGGTTGAGTTTCTGGCTGGTATGTGTTAAGGTTGCCCAAATCAATATATGATGTTTGCTTAACAAACTTAGATGTTGGTACCTGTGAGTCCCAATATAAGAAAGCCCATTTGATTTATAAGATTAGGAAATTGATCCAGGGAAAACTTTTGTATACACCCGGTTTCAGTAATTTACTGTACATCGGGTACACTTTTGTCAGATTTAGTGTCACTTTTGTCAAATTTAGTGTCACTTTTGTCAAATTTATCAATGAAGCATAAATAACTTTTATATATGTCAGGGTAACTTTTGTGCGTTTTAGGTGTAACTTTTGCACATTTTATTGTCACTTTATAACGAATGTTCAGTAATTTACTGAATATCCGTTTTATTTAAAAGTTTGTCTTGATCCAGTGAGACCCACTCCTACAAAGCCCGGGAATTTTTCTAATTATACTTTATCAAGGATGATAACAATGACTATCTCATCACCCACAACCATCAGCATTGTCGCTATTGCCTCCTCTTCTCCCCTAGTTGCCGCTTCCTCTACCCAGCATTTCCATACTTGACCTTGCTTGCTCTCTTTCTCCCGCCAATAATCGCCACTGTGCATTGCAATAAGAACTACCATGATTGATGGAGAGGTGCCTAAACTTTTATTCATTTCAGTCTGTATCAATAATCGTTTTCACCACAAAATATCTAGGTCTGGAACTTATGTAGGAAAAAGCCAAAGGGCAACTTTCCAGTGGTTCATGATCAGGACAAAAAGGTGATGTTAAGAGGGGGGGGGGGCTGAGGGGAGGGTGATTGATTTTAAAGGAGTATAGAAGAGAAAGAAGTATTATAGAAGGAGGGTGGAAAGATATATTAATGGGGGGAAGATTTTGAGGAGAAAGGTGAGAGCGATGAAAGGTGAATTGCCTGGGGGGGGGGGATGAGGAGAGTGAATATTGCTTTGGAGGTGCAATAGGAGAGAAAGAAGTGTATGAAAAGAGGAAGGTGATGGAGGAGTTGGAGGAGTTGGAGGAGAAAGAGGAGAGAGATGAATGGTAGATTATGGTAGAGAAGAGAGTGAAAAAAGAGGAAGCTAAGAGGCCACGATGAAGGTGGGGAGAGATAGGCCGTTTTGGGGAGTAGGAGTGTATCAAAGAGAAAAAGGGTTGGTTGATGGGAGGAGATCATAGGTGTTGGTATGGGGATGGGGATGGAGGGGGGTTTTACTTTTTCACTGAACACTAAGTTTTAGGTATTGAGCGATGTATAAGGAACCTCAATGCGCACTAAGGTGATGGGGTCCTGTTGCGCTTAATTGCACCTCATTGAAGTGAGGTGCACTATGTAATAACTCAAATAAATTATTTGATATGAATCTCAGAGTCGTGTGTGCCTCCTAATTCAAAAAACAAAAAAGCGCTCTATCCCAATTGCCTAGAGCTTTGCAAGGAATCAGTATTTAGGGGAAGGGTATGCTAGTCATAGTCTATTAGTAGTAACTTGGGGAATAAGTTAGAGGTTTGTTAGGAGGGATTTTCTATAAATAGGTCTCCTTAGGAGGGAAGAGGACATGCTGAATATTGTGTGCTTTGTCATTGGGAGAGAGTGAAACTCTTGAAAGCTCATACTCAGGAGAGATTCCATCTCTCGAAAGTAAAATTATCTGATTTGCTGTAATTCTCATCTTATCAATATAATCATCATTTTCTTTTTATTTGCTGCCGCTGTTAGTGCTGTAAGCTATGTCAGTTCCTAGCACGCCTCCATGCCTTAATCGTGCTTTTCCATACACTAGTATTGAGTTTAAAAATTGGATTTGTTTAGTGTAGAGAGTGTAGTTGATGTGAAAGGTTATTGAATCTAGAATCTGATGTTGTGTAAGTATGGTTGAGGAAAGGTAATTAATGACTAATAATTAAATTGATAACTATCACTCCATCCTTTTATGATTGATGGCATAGACCAATAACAATTCAACAAAGAAAAAAGTGGGGTTAGTGGACTACATGTAATTCTTGACTAATTGGAGAGAAAATTTGTCATTTAACATGCATTTATTCCATTGCTAATATTTATTTTCATTGATTGTTTGTAGAGTGACCTTGATTCTTTTGTTGTTCAAGGTTATACTTTAATTTTAAAGTGCAAAATTGTTCTTGTTGTTGTTGGACAGGTGATGATCTATTCACCTTTGATCAAATACAAATATCAAATATTATGATCAAGTATGATTGTTTAAAGCTATGAATAGCTAGTATATTTAATTTATTCTAAGCTAAACCTTGGGCAGTACGCTAACAACTCCTATGTTTCAGAGGATAATAGTAATAGATAGATTTAGGAATTAAAAAATATTGCCAATAAAACTTTCCATAACTTTTACTAATAATTTGTACGTGTTTAATACGGAGTAGGATAATAATGGATAGATTTGGAAAATAGGCGGAAACGATATCCTAAAAGTTACTATATTAAAAAAATCAATATTTGGAAGATTACGCTTAGTATTTCCTACACTATATAATAATAGCATAACCAAATTAGATAGATTTATAATTCTACCATATTTAAAAAATCAATATTCACAAAGCATTTTTTTTTTTTTTTTTTTTTTTGGGTTTTGGATAATATTGATTTATAAATTAAAGCTTCAAAACTTTTCACTCGGCCGACCCACCCCTATTACCGAAACCACCCCTCTCCCTTCCCTACCATTTGAATCACCCTCATGTATGAGGCATTTGAGAAGGATACAGTAAAGTATCTTCAGGTGAGACTTTGTTGTCATTGTTTACATTATAGCCTATAATCTACATGTATAAGCTTCCGTTATAGTTGATATGTTTGTTGCTGCATCAAAGCTGCCCATTTATTGATCGAGTAGTCGCTTCGCTTGATGACTATCATTCTTGCCAAGAAATAACTGCTATAATTGATAATACAATCATTTTGCACGTGATATGTGAGGAGTATCCAGTTTGGCAATATCATTCGCTCTGTACTTTGCTAATTTTTTTATTTGGGAACCCTTTGGCTGACTAGATTTAGAAACTTATATATTTTATTTTCAATTGGAGCCGTCAAAGGATTTTGTAGGGAATTTAGGCTTGTTTGGTTGAGTTTCTGGCTGGTATGTGTTAAGGTTGCCCAAATCAATATATGATGTTTGCTTAACAAACTTAGATGTTGGTAACAGTGAGTCCCAATATTAGAAAGCCCATTTGATTTATAAGATTAGGAAATTGATCCAGGGAAAACTTTTGTATACACCCGGTTTTCAGTAATTTACTGTACATCGGGTACACTTTTGTCAGATTTAGTGCCACTTTTGTCAAATTTAGTGTCACTTTTGTCAAATTTATCAATGAAGCATAAATAACTTTTATATATGTCAGGGTAACTTTTGTGCGTTTTAGGTGTAACTTTTGTACATTTTATTGTCACTTTATAACGAATGTTCAGTAATTTACTGAATATCCGTTTTATTTAAAAGTTTGTCTTGATCCAGTGAGACCCACTCCTACAAAGCCCGGGAATTTTTCTAATTATACTTTATCAAGGATGATAACAATGACTATCTCATCACCCACAACCATCAGCATTGTCGCTATTGCCTCCTCTTCTCCCCTAGTTGCCGCTTCCTCTACCCAGCATTTCCATACTTGACCCTGCTTGCTCTCTTTCTCCCGCCAATAATCGCCACTGTGCATTGCAATAAGCACTACCATGACTGATGGAAAGGTGCATCAACTATTATTCATTTCAGTCTGTATCAATAATTGTTTTCACCACAAAATATCTAGGTCTGGAACTTACGTATGAAAAAGCCAAAGAGCAACTTTCCAGTGGTTCATGATCAGGACAAAAAGGTGATGTTAAGAGGGGGGGGGGGCTGAGGGGAGGGTGATTGATTTTAAAGGAGTATAGAAGAGAAAGAAGTATTATAGAAGGAGGGTGGAAAGATATATTAATGGGGGGAAGATTTTGAGGAGAAAGGTGAGAGCGATGAAAGGTGAATTGCCCCGGGGGGGGGGATGAGGAGAGTGAAGATTGCTTTGGAGGTGCAATAGGAGAGAAAGAAGTGTATGAAAAGAGGAAGGTGATGGAGGAGTTGGAGGAGAAAGAGGAGAGAGATGAATGGTAGATTCTGGTAGAGAAGAGAGTGAAAAAAAAGGAAGCTAAGAGGCCACGATGAAGGTGGGGAGAGATAGGCCGTTTTGGGGAGTAGGAGTGTATCAAAGAGAAAAAGGGTTGGTTGATGGGAGGAGATCATAGGTGTTGGTATGGGGATGGGGATGGAGGGGGGTTTTACTTTTTCACTGAACACTAAGTTTTAGGTATTGAGCGATGTATAAGGAACCTCAATGCACACTAAGGTGATGGGGTCCTGTTGCGCTTAATTGCACCTCATTGAAGTGAGGTGCACTATGTAATAACTCAAATAAATTTTTTGATATGAATCTCAGAGTCGTGTGTGCCTCCTAATTTAAAAAACAAAAAAACGCTCTATCCCAATTGCCTAGAGCTTTGCAAGGAATCAGTATTTAGGGGAAGGGTATGCTAGTCATAGTCTATTAGTAGTAACTTGGGGAATAAGTTAGAGGTTTGTTAGGAGGGATTTTCTATAAATAGGTCTCATTAGGAGGGAAGAGGACATGCTGAATATTGTGTGCTTTGTCATTGGGAGAGAGTGAAACTCTTGAAAGCTCATACTCAGGAGAGATTCCATCTCTCGAAAGTAAAATTATCTGATTTGCTGTAATTCTCATCTTATCAATATAATCATCATTTTCTTTTTATTTTCTGCCGCTGTTAGTGCTGTAAGCTATGTCAGTTCCTAGCACGCCTCCATGCCTTAATCGTGCTTTTCCATACACTGGTATTGAGTTTAAAAATTGGATTTGTTTAGTGTAGAGAGTGTAGTTGATGTGAAAGGTTATTGAATCTAGAATCTGATGTTGTGTAAGTATGGTTGAGGAAAGGTAATTAATGACTAATAATTAAATTGATAACTATCACTCCATCCTTTTATGATTGATGGCATAGACCAATAACAATTCAACAAAGAAAAAAGTGGGGTTAGTGGACTACATGTAATTCTTGACTAATTGGAGAGAAAATTTGTCATTTAACATGCATTTATTCCATTGCTAATATTTATTTTCATTGATTGTTTGTAGAGTAACCTTGATTCTTTTGTTGTTCAAGGTTATACTTTAATTTTAAAGGGCAAAATTGTTCTTGTTGTTGTTGGACAGGTGATGATCTATTCACCTTTGATCACTCCAATTCACGTCATAGATACAGTAATGCACATATGCTAAGGTAAACGCTTCTTTATCAGAATTTTTTTTTAAGATACGATTTTGTAATTTCTGCATAATCCTTACATTTTTGTAATTTTTGCATGATCTTTACTTGTCTATTATATGATAAGCATATAATACCAAAGTTTAGAGGTTAGGATTGTTTGGGTCCTGCTATATTGGAAGTGTTATGGGCTGTTAGTTTTTTATGTTTTCAGCGGTGAATGTGATTTAAATAAGGCTGGGTTTTAATTTATAAGTGACTGAAGAGAAGTTTGCCGGTCTTTTCATCAACTATGGGCAGGTATTTGATTTCATTGACCAATACTATCAACAATTGGCCCTATTTGCTTTGGAATTTCTTGATTAATTCTAGGAGTAATAGTTTTTCTTAGTGTTTTTTTGTTGAGTTCTATGATTAGTTCTTAAAAGTGTTGTATTCTTTATAAGGTGGATGATTGCCGTGTTTGTGGTGACCCAAATTATGTGCTTCTTTCCGCTTTTGTTGAGTTCAAATATGAGGTTAAAGCATTGATCACAACCTTAATTAAGCTTAAAATCAAGACTTGTTTTACAAATCAACTTGTTTTGTGGTGTTGCAGATGGTGCACAAGTTGCATTGGGTCTGCCAGGTACTGTGCTTGGCTTTTATCCAATCAAAGTTCTTTCTTCTGAAGACTGCAATTGAGTGTTGAGAGAAAACTGGGTTTAGCTGGTAGAGATGAAAGTCTCTACACTCCACTACTGTCAGTTCTATCAAATTCAAGCTTCTCAGAAAGGTAATTTATAGGTTTTGTAGATTTGTAATGATTGATATGATTCAATTTCTTCTTTAAACAATAAGCGTTGATTAAATTTTATTAGTTTTATGGATTTGTTTCATATAATTTCATAAATATAATGATTGATGGTATTTTGATTTTTGGGTCATGTAAATTTTGATGAATTATTTGAGTTAATGTCATTTTTGGAAATTTGAGATTCTAATTTTTCTGTGTATTTTGTATTGTAGGTATTTAGTGATTCGAACACCTTTGTTCCAAGGAAGCTTGTTCGGGTAATTTTGTCTTTTTAATTTTTATGGTTTTTTTTTTTTTTTTTTTGGTGGAATGATAATTGAATATTTCTAAAAAATTTTAGTAAATGAATCAAGGGGTCTTTTTAAAAATAATATGAAACTTTAAATTTGGGGGTTATTTTAACAATTTTAATTTTAAACCTGGGATATTATGCATTTATGCTGTCAAATAATATTATGTTCTTCTATGATAATGAAAATAATAGCTCTGTCACCCCACAATTTCTATGTTACTGCTGGAGTTATGTTATTTTGATGTTAATTTCTCACTATTTTAATTTATGTATATGTTATTTTGAAATAAGTACATGTTATTATATACTTGCATGTTGTTTTTTTTTTATCATATAACTAATATATAAAGCTAAAATTTTAGCCAGACGACGAGATAGCGACACTTGGCGTTCTAATTTTTCGCCAAGTGTCGCGCCACGTAGGATAGAGTTATATAGAATTCAATTTGTAGGATAAAAAAATTAATTTAAAATTCTACTTTCAATCACATTTGGATAGAATTTTAGGATAAAATTGTTAATTTAGAGTTTTATTTTCGATAAAATACCAATATTTCATATGTACAAATTAAATTATAATTTTATTATAAAAAATTATAACACTCATAAATTATCATATAAATTTATTTTTTGTATCATAGTATTTTTTTTTTTTGAGCGAAGGATTTAGCTCAAAATGCACCACATCCATTATTTATAGTATATTATATAATCAATTAAAACATTATACTTTACAATCTAATATAATCTAATTACTGTGCGTAGACCTGTAAATCGGGTCGGGTCACGAGTCATTTCGGGCAGGGTCATTATTTTAGGTTACGGGTCAAGAAATGTTTTACACCAATGTTATTATTATTATTAGTCATTACATGCCTACTATATAGTTTAAATCATCACAAAAACACATCAATTCCTAACTAATTTTGTATCAATGATATATTTTAAAATTTGACATATAGATTAAAAATTTATCTTAAAATTCAATAAACAACCCGGGCATCGCACGGGCACAAAACTAGTTTTATTTTTATTTTTAATCTATTTCTGCTTATCATCACTGTTTTGAGGCAAGTGTAGAGTCTGTAGACTGATGCATGGTAATTTCATAGGATTTTTCTTGGTTTTCTTCGTGAATCAATGCTTATTTTGTGATACTAGGTTTATTTTTACATCATCTTGTTGTAATTGTACAGCTGATGTTGAAATAAAATAAAAAAAGAAAAAAAAAAACACACACACACATAATCATTACATATTTGTTGTAAATTAAGCAATTTACTCAATTGAATTTTCAGAGTGTTCTGCCATACTTCAATAATTTTCAATTAAATACTAGCCATTAAATACTCTAACAACAAAATAGGAAATGATTATGCTAAGTGGGTGAACATGGCCCACATAATACTCCATTAAAACTGCTGGTAACTTCTTAGACCTAGGATACTACTTTTATTTAGGAAAATAATCTTCCACTAAGGCACTAGATAATAACGACTAACAACTAAGTCCACTGATTTTGGGGCATTAAGAAACAATACTCATACATAAACTAATGAAATAAAGAATATTAGTATCTTATATCTACTAGCATACTAGATCGACAATAGGGACACTTGTGTTTTCCGGGAAGCCATCTGAAAATGCAGTCGCGATGAAATACGTGGTTGCAACGAGACAAGCTTATTGCATTTTCCGATGACAAGTTGTCAAGACAAATGGAGCAAATAGTATCATTACCGAAATCTTTTGTATGAATCCATTCAACGGTTTGTTTTTGCTTCCTAAACACCCACGGTAATATAATCTCGGAATATTGTACATTAGCGTGGCGCATAAGCTCGGGGTAAAGACATTTAAGGATCTCAACATCATCTTGTTCAAGGCTTTGATATTCAACATTTGTAAAAGGGATTTCATCAAAACTTACATTGTTGAGTTTGGATGGAAAATAAGCATATTCGTTGTCATCGAATATTTCATCAAAATCGTGTGTAGTAATATAGGAATCCTCTTTCTTATTAGCAGTAGTAGTATACACGAACAAAGACTGCTGATCCTCTTGTTGGCAATGCCTTCCATCGATGAGAATATCAAGCACAAACAAAAGTCCGGGATAAGCATCAATATTCCTATGATAACGGAAGCAAGACTTCAAATAGTCCGAAACGTTTCGAGAAATTAACTCTTTTGATTTAGGGCCAATATAATCTTGGATTTCCGAGATTACTTGTTTTGCCAATTCAGAAAAATCACCTCTGTGAATGGCGTAAACTTTGAAATAGACGAGTTTCCTAAGCAGATTTTGATCATATGATTTGAGATTTAGGAGGAATAGCCCTTGATTATACAAGAAAGATGGAGGGAACTCATGGGGAAGGAAGACTCGAAAGAGTTTAACATTATCTAGCTTTGCTTCATGCAGCATCATGTTTATGTTTATGGAGAACCTACTAAACCAAATACAAATATCAAATATTATGATCAAGTATGATTGTTTAAAGCTATGAATAGCTAGTATATTTAATTTATTCTAAGCTAAACCTTGGGCAGTACGCTAACAACTCCTATGTTTCAGAGGATAATAGTAATAGATAGATTTAGGAATTAAAAAATATTGCCAATAAAACTTTCCATAACTTTTACTAATAATTTGTACGTGTTTAATACGGAGTAGGATAATAATGGATAGATTTGGAAAATAGGCGGAAACGATATCCTAAAAGTTACTATATTAAAAAAATCAATATTTGGAAGATTACGCTTAGTATTTCCTACACTGTATAATAATAGCATAACCAAATTAGATAGATTTATAATTCTACCATATTTAAAAAATCAATATTCACAAAGCATTTTTTTTTTTTTTTTTTTTTTTTTGGGTTTTGGATAATATTGATTTATAAATTAAAGCTTCAAAACTTTTCACTCGGCCGACCCACCCCTATTACCGAAACCACCCCTCTCCCTTCCCTACCATTTGAATCACCCTCATGTATGAGGCATTTGAGAAGGATACAGTAAAGTATCTTCAGGTGAGACTTTGTTGTCATTGTTTACATTATAGCCTATAATCTACATGTATAAGCTTCCGTTACAGTTGATATGTTTGTTGCTGCATCAAAGCTGCCCATTTATTGATCGAGTAGTCGCTTCGCTTGATGACTATCATTCTTGCCAAGAAATAACTGCTATAATTGATAATACAATCATTTTGCACGTGATATGTGAGGAGTATCCAGTTTGGCAATATCATTCGCTCTGTACTTTGCTAATTTTTTTATTTGGGAACCCTTTGGCTGACTAGATTTAGAAACTTATATATTTTATTTTCAATTGGAGCCGTCAAAGGATTTTGTAGGGAATTTAGGCTTGTTTGGTTGAGTTTCTGGCTGGTATGTGTTAAGGTTGCCCAAATCAATATATGATGTTTGCTTAACAAACTTAGATGTTGGTACCAGTGAGTCCCAATATTAGAAAGCCCATTTGATTTATAAGATTAGGAAATTGATCCAGGGAAAACTTTTGTATACACCCGGTTTTCAGTAATTTACAGTACATCGGGTACACTTTTGTCAGATTTAGTGTCACTTTTGTCAAATTTAGTGTCACTTTTGTCAAATTTATCAATGAAGCATAAATAACTTTTATATATGTCAGGGTAACTTTTGTGTGTTTTAGGTGTAACTTTTGCACATTTTATTGTCACTTTATAACGAATGTTCAGTAATTTACTGAATATCCGTTTTATTTAAAAGTTTGTCTTGATCCAGTGAGACCCACTCCTAGAAAGCCCGAGAATTTTTCTAATTATACTTTATCAAGGATGATAACAATGACTATCTCATCACCCACAACCATCAGCATTGTCGCTATTGCCTCCTCTTCTCCCCTAGTTGCCGCTTCCTCTACCCAGCATTTCCATACTTGACCCTGCTTGCTCTCTTTCTCCTGCCAATAATCGCCACTATTCATTGCAATAAGCACTACCATGACTGATGGAAAGGTGCATCAACTTTTATTCATTTCAGTCTGTATCAATAATCGTTTTCACCACAAAATATCTAGGTCTGGAACTTACGTAGGAAAAAGCCAAAGAGCAACTTTCCAGTGGTTCATGATCAGGACAAAAAGGTGATGTTAAGAGGGGGGGGGGCTGAGGGGAGGGTGATTGATTTTAAAGGAGTATAGAAGAGAAAGAAGTATTATAGAAGGAGGGTGGAAAGATATATTAATGGGGGGAAGATTTTGAGGAGAAAGGTGAGAGCGATGAAAGGTGAATTGCCCCGGGGGGGGATGAGGAGAGTGAAGATTGCTTTGGAGGTGCAATAGGAGAGAAAGAAGTGTATGAAAAGAGGAAGGTGATGGAGGAGTTGGAGGAGAAAGAGGAGAGAGATGAATGGTAGATTCTGGTAGAGAAGAGAGTGAAAAAAGAGGAAGCTAAGAGGCCACGATGAAGGTGGGGAGAGATAGGCCGTTTTGGGGAGTAGGAGTGTATCAAAGAGAAAAAGGGTTGGTTGATGGGAGGAGATCATAGGTGTTGGTATGGGGATGGGGATGGAGGGGGGTTTTACTTTTTCACTGAACACTAAGTTTTAGGTATTGAGCGATGTATAAGGAACCTCAATGCACACTAAGGTGATGGGGTCCTGTTGCGCTTAATTGCACCTCATTGAAGTGAGGTGCACTATGTAATAACTCAAATAAATTTTTTGATATGAATCTCAGAGTCGTGTGTGCCTCCTAATTTAAAAAACAAAAAAGCGCTCTATCCCAATTGCCTAGAGCTTTGCAAGGAATCAGTATTTAGGGGAAGGGTATGCTAGTCATAGTCTATTAGTAGTAACTTGGGGAATAAGTTAGAGGTTTGTTAGGAGGGATTTTCTATAAATAGGTCTCATTAGGAGGGAAGAGGACATGCTGAATATTGTGTGCTTTGTCATTGGGAGAGAGTGAAACTCTTGAAAGCTCATACTCAGGAGAGATTCCATCTCTCGAAAGTAAAATTATCTGATTTGCTGTAATTCTCATCTTATCAATATAATCATCATTTTCTTTTTATTTGCTGCCGCTGTTAGTGCTGTAAGCTATGTCAGTTCCTAGCACGCCTCCATGCCTTAATCGTGCTTTTCCATACACTGGTATTGAGTTTAAAAATTGGATTTGTTTAGTGTAGAGAGTGTAGTTGATGTGAAAGGTTATTGAATCTAGAATCTGATGTTGTGTAAGTATGGTTGAGGAAAGGTAATTAATGACTAATAATTAAATTGATAACTATCACTCCATCCTTTTATGATTGATGGCATAGACCAATAACAATTCAACAAAGAAAAAAGTGGGGTTAGTGGACTACATGTAATTCTTGACTAATTGGAGAGAAAATTTGTCATTTAACATGCATTTATTCCATTGCTAATATTTATTTTCATTGATTGTTTGTAGAGTGACCTTGATTCTTTTGTTGTTCAAGGTTATACTTTAATTTTAAAGGGCAAAATTGTTCTTGTTGTTGTTGGACAGGTGATGATCTATTCACCTTTGATCACTCCAATTCACGTCATATATACAGTAATGCACATATGCTAAGGTAAACGCTTCTTTATCAGAATTTTTTTTTAAGATTCGATTTTGTAATTTCTGCATAATCCTTACATTTTTGTAATTTTTGCATGATCTTTACTTGTCTATTATATGATAAGCATATAATACCAAAGTTTAGAGGTTAGGATTGTTTGGGTCCTGCTATATTGGAAGTGTTATGGGCTGTTAGTTTTTTATGTTTTCAGCGGTGAATGTGATTTAAATAAGGCTGGGTTTTAATTTATAAGTGACTGAAGAGAAGTTTGCCGGTCTTTTCATCAACTATGGGCAGGTATTTGATTTCATTGACCAATACTATCAACAATTGGCCCTATTTGCTTTTGAATTTGTTGATTAATTCTAGGAGTAATAGTTTTTCTTAGTGTTTTTTTGTTGAGTTCTATGATTAGTTCTTAAAAGTGTTGTATTCTTTATAAGGTGGTTGATTGCCGTGTTTGTGGTGACCCAAATTATGTGCTTCTTTCCGCTTTTGTTGAGTTCAAATATGAGGTTAAAGCATTGATCACAACCTTAATTAAGCTTAAAATCAAGACTTGTTTTACAAATCAACTTGTTTTGTGGTGTTGCAGATGGTGCACAAGTTGCATTGAGTCTGCCAGGTACTGTGCTTGGCTTTTATCCAATCAAAGTTCTTTCTTCTGAAGACTGCAATTGAGTGTTGAGAGAAAACTGGGTTTAGCTGGTAGAGATGAAAGTCTCTACACTCCACTACTGTCAGTTCTATCAAATTCAAGCTTCTCAGAAAGGTAATTTATAGGTTTTGTAGATTTGTAATGATTGATATGATTCAATTTCTTCTTTAAACAATAAGCGTTGATTAAATTTTATTAGTTTTATGGATTTGTTTCATATAATTTCATAAATATAATGATTGATGGTATTTTGATTTTTGGGTCATGTAAATTTTGATGAATTATTTGAGTTAATGTCATTTTTGGAAATTTGAGATTCTAATTTTTCTGTGTATTTTGTATTGTAGGTATTTAGTGATTCGAACACCTTTGTTCCAAGGAAGCTTGTTCGGGTAATTTTGTCTTTTTAATTTTTATGGTTTTTTTTTTTTTTTTTTTTTTTGGTGGAATGATAATTGAATATTTCTAAAAAATTTTAGTAAATGAATCAAGGGGTCTTTTTAAAAATAATTTGAAACTTTAAATTTGGGGGTTATTTTAACAATTTTAATTTTAAACCTGGGATATTATGCATTTATGCTGTCAAATAATATTATGTTCTTCTATGATACTGGAAATAATAGCTCTGTCACCCCACAATTTCTATGTTACTGCTGGAGTTATGTTATTTTGATGTTAATTTCTCACTATTTTAATTTATGTATATGTTATTTTGAAATAAGTACATGTTATTGTATACTTGCATGTTGTTTTTTTTTTATCATATAACTAATATATAAAGCTAAAATTTTAGCCAGACGACGAGATAGCGACACTTGGCGTTCTAATTTTTCGCCAAGTGTCGCGCCACGTAGGATAGAGTTATATAGAATTCAATTTGTAGGATAAAAAAATTAATTTAGAATTCTACTTTCAATCAAATTTGGATAGAATTTTAGGATAAAATTGTTAATTTAGAGTTTTATTTTCGATAAAATACCAATATTTCATATGTACAAATTAAATTATAATTTTATTAAAAAAAATTATAACACTCATAAATTATCATATAAATTTATTTTTTGTATCATAGTATTTTTTTTTTTTGAGCGAAGGATTTAGCTCAAAATGCACCACATCCATTATTTATAGTATATTATATAATCAATTAAAACATTATACTTTACAATCTAATATAATCTAATTACTGTGCGTAGACCTGTAAATCGGGTCGGGTCACGAGTCATTTCGGGCAGGGTCATTATTTTAGGTTACGGGTCAAGAAATGTTTTACACCAATGTTATTATTATTATTAGTCATTACATGCCTACTATATAGTTTAAATCATCACAAAAACACATCAATTCCTAACTAATTTTGTATCAATGATATATTTTAAAATTTGACATATAGATTAAAAATTTATCTTAAAATTCAATAAACAACCCGGGCATCGCACGGGCACAAAACTAGTTTTATTTTTATTTTTAATCTATTTCTGCTTATCATCACTGTTTTGAGGCAAGTGTAGAGTCTGTAGACTGATGCATGGTAATTTCATAGGATTTTTCTTGTTATTCTTCGTGAATCAATGCTTATTTTGTGATACTAGGTTTATTTTTACATCATCTTGTTGTAATTGTACAGCTGATGTTGAAATAAAAAAAAAAAAGAAAAAAAAAACACACACACACACATAATCATTACATATTTGTTGTAAATTAAGCAATTTACTCAATTGAATTTTCAGAGTGTTCTGCCATACTTCAATAATTTTCAATTAAATACTAGCCATTAAATACTCTAACAACAAAATAGGAAATGATTATGCTAAGTGGGTGAACATGGCCCACATAATACTCCATTAAAACTGCTGGTAACTTCTTAGACCTAGGATACTACTTTTATTTAGGAAAATAATCTTCCACTAAGGCACTAGATAATAACGACTAACAACTAAGTCCACTGATTTTGGGGCATTAAGAAACAATACTCATACATAAACTAATGAAATAAAGAATATTAGTATCTTATATCTACTAGCATACTAGATCGACAATAGGGACACTTGTGTTTTCCGGGAAGCCATCTGAAAATGCAGTCGCGATGAAATACGTGGTTGCAACGAGACAAGCTTATTGCATTTTCCGATGACAAGTTGTCAAGACAAATGGAGCAAATAGTATCATTACCGAAATCTTTTGTATGAATCCATTCAACGGTTTGTTTTTGCTTCCTAAACACCCACGGTAATATAATCTCGGAATATTGTACATTAGCGTGGCGCATAAGCTCGGGGTAAAGACATTTAAGGATCTCAACATCATCTTGTTCAAGGCTTTGATATTCAACATTTGTAAAAGGGATTTCATCAAAACTTACATTGTTGAGTTTGGATGGAAAATAAGCATATTCGTTGTCATCGAATATTTCATCAAAATCGTGTGTAGTAATATAGGAATCCTCTTGCTTATTAGCAGTAGTAGTATACACGAACAAAGACTGCTGATCCTCTTGTTGGCAATGCCTTCCATCGATGAGAATATCAAGCACAAACAAAAGTCCGGGATAAGCATCAATATTCCTATGATAACGGAAGCAAGACTTCAAATAGTCCGAAACGTTTCGAGAAATTAACTCTTTTGATTTAGGGCCAATATAATCTTGGATTTCCGAGATTACTTGTTTTGCCAATTCAGAAAAATCACCTCTGTGAATGGCGTAAACTTTGAAATAGACGAGTTTCCTAAGCAGATTTTGATCATATGATTTGAGATTTAGGAGGAATAGCCCTTGATTATACAAGAAAGATGGAGGGAACTCATGGGGAAGGAAGACTCGAAAGAGTTTAACATTATCTAGCTTTGCTTCATGCAGCATCATGTTTATGTTTATGGAGAACCTACTAAACCAAATACAAATATCAAATATTATGATCAAGTATGATTGTTTAAAGCTATGAATAGCTAGTATATTTAATTTATTCTAAGCTAAACCTTGGGCAGTACGCTAACAACTCCTATGTTTCAGAGGATAATAGTAATAGATAGATTTAGGAATTAAAAAATATTGCCAATAAAACTTTCCATAACTTTTACTAATAATTTGTACGTGTTTAATACGGAGTAGGATAATAATGGATAGATTTGGAAAATAGGCGGAAACGATATCCTAAAAGTTACTATATTAAAAAAATCAATATTTGGAAGATTACGCTTAGTATTTCCTACACTGTATAATAATAGCATAACCAAATTAGATAGATTTATAATTCTACCATATTTAAAAAATCAATATTCACAAAGCATTTTTTTTTTTTTTTTTTGGTTTTGGATAATATTGATTTATAAATTAAAGCATGTTAGTTTGAAGGTAACTTTTCACTCGGCCGACCCACCCCTATTACCGAAACCACCCCTCTCCCTTCCCTACCATTTGAATCACCCTCATGTATGAGGCATTTGAGAAGGATACAGTAAAGTATCTTCAGGTGAGACTTTGTTGTCATTGTTTACATTATAGCCTATAATCTACATGTATAAGCTTCCGTTATAGTTGATATGTTTGTTGCTGCATCAAAGCTGCCCATTTATTGATCGAGTAGTCGCTTCGCTTGATGACTATCATTCTTGCCAAGAAATAACTGCTATAATTGATAATACAATCATTTTGCACGTGATATGTGAGGAGTATCCAGTTTGGCAATATCATTCGCTCTGTACTTTGCTAATTTTTTTATTTGGGAACCCTTTGGCTGACTAGATTTAGAAACTTATATATTTTATTTTCAATTGGAGCCGTCAAAGGATTTTGTAGGGAATTTAGGCTTGTTTGGTTGAGTTTCTGGCTGGTATGTGTTAAGGTTGCCCAAATCAATATATGATGTTTGCTTAACAAACTTAGATGTTGGTACCAGTGAGTCCCAATATTAGAAAGCCCATTTGATTTATAAGATTAGGAAATTGATCCAGGGAAAACTTTTGTATACACCCGGTTTTCAGTAATTTACTGTACATCGGGTACACTTTTGTCAGATTTAGTGTCACTTTTGTCAAATTTAGTGTCACTTTTGTCAAATTTATCAATGAAGCATAAATAACTTTTATATATGTCAGGGTAACTTTTGTGCGTTTTAGGTGTAACTTTTGCACATTTTATTGTCACTTTATAACGAATGTTCAGTAATTTACTGAATATCCGTTTTATTTAAAAGTTTGTCTTGATCCAGTGAGACCCACTCCTACAAAGCCCGGGAATTTTTCTAATTATACTTTATCAAGGATGATAACAATGACTATCTCATCACCCACAACCATCAGCATTGTCGCTATTGCCTCCTCTTCTCCCCTAGTTGCCGCTTCCTCTACCCAGCATTTCCATACTTGACCCTGCTTGCTCTCTTTCTCCCGCCAATAATCGCCACTGTTCATTGCAATAAGCACTACCATGACTGATGGAAAGGTGCATCAACTTTTATTCATTTCAGTCTGTATCAATAATCGTTTTCACCACAAAATATCTAGGTCTGGAACTTACGTAGGAAAAAGCCAAAGAGCAACTTTCCAGTGGTTCATGATCAGGACAAAAAGGTGATGTTAAGAGGGGGGGGCTGAGGGGAGGGTGATTGATTTTAAAGGAGTATAGAAGAGAAAGAAGTATTATAGAAGGAGGGTGGAAAGATATATTAATGGGGGGAAGATTTTGAGGAGAAAGGTGAGAGCGATGAAAGGTGAATTGCCTCGGGGGGGGATGAGGAGAGTGAAGATTGCTTTGGAGGTGCAATAGGAGAGAAAGAAGTGTATGAAAAGAGGAAGGTGATGGAGGAGTTGGAGGAGAAAGAGGAGAGAGATGAATGGTAGATTCTGGTAGAGAAGAGAGTGAAAAAAGAGGAAGCTAAGAGGCCACGATGAAGGTGGGGAGAGATAGGCCGTTTTGGGGAGTAGGAGTGTATCAAAGAGAAAAAGGGTTGGTTGATGGGAGGAGATCATAGGTGTTGGTATGGGGATGGGGATGGAGGGGGGTTTTACTTTTTCACTGAACACTAAGTTTTAGGTATTGAGCGATGTATAAGGAACCTCAATGCGCACTAAGGTGATGGGGTCCTGTTGCGCTTAATTGCACCTCATTGAAGTGAGGTGCACTATGTAATAACTCAAATAAATTTTTTGATATGAATCTCAGAGTCGTGTGTGCCTCCTAATTTAAAAAACAAAAAAGCGCTCTATCCCAATTGCCTAGAGCTTTGCAAGGAATCAGTATTTAGGGGAAGGGTATGCTAGTCATAGTCTATTAGTAGTAACTTGGGGAATAAGTTAGAGGTTTGTTAGGAGGGATTTTCTATAAATAGGTCTCATTAGGAGGGAAGAGGACATGCTGAATATTGTGTGCTTTGTCATTGGGAGAGAGTGAAACTCTTGAAAGCTCATACTCAGGAGAGATTCCATCTCTCGAAAGTAAAATTATCTGATTTGCTGTAATTCTCATCTTATCAATATAATCATCATTTTCTTTTTATTTGCTGCCGCTGTTAGTGCTGTAAGCTATGTCAGTTCCTAGCACGCCTCCATGCCTTAATCGTGCTTTTCCATACACTGGTATTGAGTTTAAAAATTGGATTTGTTTAGTGTAGAGAGTGTAGTTGATGTGAAAGGTTATTGAATCTAGAATCTGATGTTGTGTAAGTATGGTTGAGGAAAGGTAATTAATGACTAATAATTAAATTGATAACTATCACTCCATCCTTTTATGATTGATGGCATAGACCAATAACAATTCAACAAAGAAAAAAGTGGGGTTAGTGGACTACATGTAATTCTTGACTAATTGGAGAGAAAATTTGTCATTTAACATGCATTTATTCCATTGCTAATATTTATTTTCATTGATTGTTTGTAGAGTGACCTTGATTCTTTTGTTGTTCAAGGTTATACTTTAATTTTAAAGGGCAAAATTGTTCTTGTTGTTGTTGGACAGGTGATGATCTATTCACCTTTGATCACTCCAATTCACGTCATATATACAGTAATGCACATATGCTAAGGTAAACGCTTCTTTATCAGAATTTTTTTTTAAGATTCGATTTTGTAATTTCTGCATAATCCTTACATTTTTGTAATTTTTGCATGATCTTTACTTGTCTATTATATGATAAGCATATAATACCAAAGTTTAGAGGTTAGGATTGTTTGGGTCCTGCTATATTGGAAGTGTTATGGGCTGTTAGTTTTTTATGTTTTCAGCGGTGAATGTGATTTAAATAAGGCTGGGTTTTAATTTATAAGTGACTGAAGAGAAGTTTGCCGGTCTTTTCATCAACTATGGGCAGGTATTTGATTTCATTGACCAATACTATCAACAATTGGCCCTATTTGCTTTTGAATTTGTTGATTAATTCTAGGAGTAATAGTTTTTCTTAGTGTTTTTTTGTTGAGTTCTATGATTAGTTCTTAAAAGTGTTGTATTCTTTATAAGGTGGTTGATTGCCGTGTTTGTGGTGACCCAAATTATGTGCTTCTTTCCGCTTTTGTTGAGTTCAAATATGAGGTTAAAGCATTGATCACAACCTTAATTAAGCTTAAAATCAAGACTTGTTTTACAAATCAACTTGTTTTGTGGTGTTGCAGATGGTGCACAAGTTGCATTGAGTCTGCCAGGTACTGTGCTTGGCTTTTATCCAATCAAAGTTCTTTCTTCTGAAGACTGCAATTGAGTGTTGAGAGAAAACTGGGTTTAGCTGGTAGAGATGAAAGTCTCTACACTCCACTACTGTCAGTTCTATCAAATTCAAGCTTCTCAGAAAGGTAATTTATAGGTTTTGTAGATTTGTAATGATTGATATGATTCAATTTCTTCTTTAAACAATAAGCGTTGATTAAATTTTATTAGTTTTATGGATTTGTTTCATATAATTTCATAAATATAATGATTGATGGTATTTTGATTTTTGGGTCATGTAAATTTTGATGAATTATTTGAGTTAATGTCATTTTTGGAAATTTGAGATTCTAATTTTTCTGTGTATTTTGTATTGTAGGTATTTAGTGATTCGAACACCTTTGTTCCAAGGAAGCTTGTTCGGGTAATTTTGTCTTTTTAATTTTATGGTTTTTTTTTTTTTTTTTTTTGGTGGAATGATAATTGAATATTTCTAAAAAAATTTAGTAAATGAATCAAGGGGTCTTTTTAAAAATAATTTGAAACTTTAAATTTGGGGGTTATTTTAACAATTTTAATTTTAAACCTGGGATATTATGCATTTATGCTGTCAAATAATATTATGTTCTTCTATGATACTGGAAATAATAGCTCTGTCACCCCACAATTTCTATGTTACTGCTGGAGTTATGTTATTTTGATGTTAATTTCTCACTATTTTAATTTATGTATATGTTATTTTGAAATAAGTACATGTTATTGTATACTTGCATGTTGTTTTTTTTTTATCATATAACTAATATATAAAGCTAAAATTTTAGCCAGACGACGAGATAGCGACACTTGGCGTTCTAATTTTTCGCCAAGTGTCGCGCCACGTAGGATAGAGTTATATAGAATTCAATTTGTAGGATAAAAAAATTAATTTAGAATTCTACTTTCAATCAAATTTGGATAGAATTTTAGGATAAAATTGTTAATTTAGAGTTTTATTTTCGATAAAATACCAATATTTCATATGTACAAATTAAATTATAATTTTATTAAAAAAATTATAACACTCATAAATTATCATATAAATTTATTTTTTGTATCATAGTATTTTTTTTTTTGAGCGAAGGATTTAGCTCAAAATGCACCACATCCATTATTTATAGTATATTATATAATCAATTAAAACATTATACTTTACAATCTAATATAATCTAATTACTGTGCGTAGACCTGTAAATCGGGTCGGGTCACGAGTCATTTCGGGCAGGGTCATTATTTTAGGTTACGGGTCAAGAAATGTTTTACACCAATGTTATTATTATTATTAGTCATTACATGCCTACTATATAGTTTAAATCATCACAAAAACACATCAATTCCTAACTAATTTTGTATCAATGATATATTTTAAAATTTGACATATAGATTAAAAATTTATCTTAAAATTCAATAAACAACCCGGGCATCGCACGGGCACAAAACTAGTTTTATTTTTATTTTTAATCTATTTCTGCTTATCATCACTGTTTTGAGGCAAGTGTAGAGTCTGTAGACTGATGCATGGTAATTTCATAGGATTTTTCTTGTTATTCTTCGTGAATCAATGCTTATTTTGTGATACTAGGTTTATTTTTACATCATCTTGTTGTAATTGTACAGCTGATGTTGAAATAAAAAAAAAAAGAAAAAAAAAACACACACACACATAATCATTACATATTTGTTGTAAATTAAGCAATTTACTCAATTGAATTTTCAGAGTGTTCTGCCATACTTCAATAATTTTCAATTAAATACTAGCCATTAAATACTCTAACAACAAAATAGGAAATGATTATGCTAAGTGGGTGAACATGGCCCACATAATACTCCATTAAAACTGCTGGTAACTTCTTAGACCTAGGATACTACTTTTATTTAGGAAAATAATCTTCCACTAAGGCACTAGATAATAACGACTAACAACTAAGTCCACTGATTTTGGGGCATTAAGAAACAATACTCATACATAAACTAATGAAATAAAGAATATTAGTATCTTATATCTACTAGCATACTAGATCGACAATAGGGACACTTGTGTTTTCCGGGAAGCCATCTGAAAATGCAGTCGCGATGAAATACGTGGTTGCAACGAGACAAGCTTATTGCATTTTCCGATGACAAGTTGTCAAGACAAATGGAGCAAATAGTATCATTACCGAAATCTTTTGTATGAATCCATTCAACGGTTTGTTTTTGCTTCCTAAACACCCACGGTAATATAATCTCGGAATATTGTACATTAGCGTGGCGCATAAGCTCGGGGTAAAGACATTTAAGGATCTCAACATCATCTTGTTCAAGGCTTTGATATTCAACATTTGTAAAAGGGATTTCATCAAAACTTACATTGTTGAGTTTGGATGGAAAATAAGCATATTCGTTGTCATCGAATATTTCATCAAAATCGTGTGTAGTAATATAGGAATCCTCTTGCTTATTAGCAGTAGTAGTATACACGAACAAAGACTGCTGATCCTCTTGTTGGCAATGCCTTCCATCGATGAGAATATCAAGCACAAACAAAAGTCCGGGATAAGCATCAATATTCCTATGATAACGGAAGCAAGACTTCAAATAGTCCGAAACGTTTCGAGAAATTAACTCTTTTGATTTAGGGCCAATATAATCTTGGATTTCCGAGATTACTTGTTTTGCCAATTCAGAAAAATCACCTCTGTGAATGGCGTAAACTTTGAAATAGACGAGTTTCCTAAGCAGATTTTGATCATATGATTTGAGATTTAGGAGGAATAGCCCTTGATTATACAAGAAAGATGGAGGGAACTCATGGGGAAGGAAGACTCGAAAGAGTTTAACATTATCTAGCTTTGCTTCATGCAGCATCATGTTTATGTTTATGGAGAACCTACTAAACCAAATACAAATATCAAATATTATGATCAAGTATGATTGTTTAAAGCTATGAATAGCTAGTATATTTAATTTATTCTAAGCTAAACCTTGGGCAGTACGCTAACAACTCCTATGTTTCAGAGGATAATAGTAATAGATAGATTTAGGAATTAAAAAATATTGCCAATAAAACTTTCCATAACTTTTACTAATAATTTGTACGTGTTTAATACGGAGTAGGATAATAATGGATAGATTTGGAAAATAGGCGGAAACGATATCCTAAAAGTTACTATATTAAAAAAATCAATATTTGGAAGATTACGCTTAGTATTTCCTACGCTGTATAATAATAGCATAACCAAATTAGATAGATTAATAATTCTACCATATTTAAAAAATCAATATTCACAAAGCATTTTTTTTTTTTTTTTTGGATAATATTGATTTATAAATTAAAGCATGTTAGTTTGAAGGTAACTTTTCACTCGGCCGACCCACCCCTATTACCGAAACCACCCCTCTCCCTTCCCTACCATTTGAATCACCCTCATGTATGAGGCATTTGAGAAGGATACAGTAAAGTATCTTCAGGTGAGACTTTGTTGTCATTGTTTACATTATAGCCTATAATCTACATGTATAAGCTTCCGTTATAGTTGATATGTTTGTTGCTGCATCAAAGCTGCCCATTTATTGATCGAGTAGTCGCTTCGCTTGATGACTATCATTCTTGCCAAGAAATAACTGCTATAATTGATAATACAATCATTTTGCACGTGATATGTGAGGAGTATCCAGTTTGGCAATATCATTCGCTCTGTACTTTGCTAATTTTTTTATTTGGGAACCCTTTGGCTGACTAGATTTAGAAACTTATATATTTTATTTTCAATTGGAGCCGTCAAAGGATTTTGTAGGGAATTTAGGCTTGTTTGGTTGAGTTTCTGGCTGGTATGTGTTAAGGTTGCCCAAATCAATATATGATGTTTGCTTAACAAACTTAGATGTTGGTACCAGTGAGTCCCAATATTAGAAAGCCCATTTGATTTATAAGATTAGGAAATTGATCCAGGGAAAACTTTTGTATACACCCGGTTTTCAGTAATTTACTGTACATCGGGTACACTTTTGTCAGATTTAGTGTCACTTTTGTCAAATTTAGTGTCACTTTTGTCAAATTTATCAATGAAGCATAAATAACTTTTATATATGTCAGGGTAACTTTTGTGCGTTTTAGGTGTAACTTTTGCACATTTTATTGTCACTTTATAACGAATGTTCAGTAATTTACTGAATATCCGTTTTATTTAAAAGTTTGTCTTGATCCAGTGAGACCCACTCCTACAAAGCCCGGGAATTTTTCTAATTATACTTTATCAAGGATGATAACAATGACTATCTCATCACCCACAATCATCAGCATTGTCGCTATTGCCTCCTCTTCTCCCCTAGTTGCCGCTTCCTCTACCCAGCATTTCCATACTTGACCCTGCTTGCTCTCTTTCTCCCGCCAATAATCGCCACTGTGCATTGCAATAAGCACTACCATGACTGATGGAAAGGTGCATCAACTTTTATTCATTTCAGTCTGTATCAATAATCGTTTTCACCACAAAATATCTAGGTCTGGAACTTACGTAGGAAAAAGCCAAAGAGCAACTTTCCAGTGGTTCATGATCAGGACAAAAAGGTGATGTTAAGAGGGGGGGGGCTGAGGGGAGGGTGATTGATTTTAAAGGAGTATAGAAGAGAAAGAAGTATTATAGAAGGAGGGTGGAAAGATATATTAATGGGGGGAAGATTTTGAGGAGAAAGGTGAGAGCGATGAAAGGTGAATTGCCCCGGGGGGGGATGAGGAGAGTGAAGATTGCTTTGGAGGTGCAATAGGAGAGAAAGAAGTGTATGAAAAGAGGAAGGTGATGGAGGAGTTGGAGGAGAAAGAGGAGAGAGATGAATGGTAGATTCTGGTAGAGAAGAGAGTGAAAAAAGAGGAAGCTAAGAGGCCACGATGAAGGTGGGGAGAGATAGGCCGTTTTGGGGAGTAGGAGTGTATCAAAGAGAAAAAGGGTTGGTTGATGGGAGGAGATCATAGGTGTTGGTATGGGGATGGGGATGGAGGGGGGTTTTACTTTTTCACTGAACACTAAGTTTTAGGTATTGAGCGATGTATAAGGAACCTCAATGCGCACTAAGGTGATGGGGTCCTGTTGCGCTTAATTGCACCTCATTGAAGTGAGGTGCACTATGTAATAACTCAAATAAATTTTTTGATATGAATCTCAGAGTCGTGTGTGCCTCCTAATTTAAAAAAACAAAAAAGCGCTCTATCCCAATTGCCTAGAGCTTTGCAAGGAATCAGTATTTAGGGGAAGGGTATGCTAGTCATAGTCTATTAGTAGTAACTTGGGGAATAAGTTAGAGGTTTGTTAGGAGGGATTTTCTATAAATAGGTCTCATTAGGAGGGAAGAGGACATGCTGAATATTGTGTGCTTTGTCATTGGGAGAGAGTGAAACTCTTGAAAGCTCATACTCAGGAGAGATTCCATCTCTCGAAAGTAAAATTATCTGATTTGCTGTAATTCTCATCTTATCAATATAATCATCATTTTCTTTTTATTTGCTGCCGCTGTTAGTGCTGTAAGCTATGTCAGTTCCTAGCACGCCTCCATGCCTTAATCGTGCTTTTCCATACACTGGTATTGAGTTTAAAAATTGGATTTGTTTAGTGTAGAGAGTGTAGTTGATGTGAAAGGTTATTGAATCTAGAATCTGATGTTGTGTAAGTATGGTTGAGGAAAGGTAATTAATGACTAATAATTAAATTGATAACTATCACTCCATCCTTTTATGATTGATGGCATAGACCAATAACAATTCAACAAAGAAAAAAGTGGGGTTAGTGGACTACATGTAATTCTTGACTAATTGGAGAGAAAATTTGTCATTTAACATGCATTTATTCCATTGCTAATATTTATTTTCATTGATTGTTTGTAGAGTGACCTTGATTCTTTTGTTGTTCAAGGTTATACTTTAATTTTAAAGGGCAAAATTGTTCTTGTTGTTGTTGGACAGGTGATGATCTATTCACCTTTGATCACTCCAATTCACGTCATATATACAGTAATGCACATATGCTAAGGTAAACGCTTCTTTATCAGAATTTTTTTTTAAGATTCGATTTTGTAATTTCTGCATAATCCTTACATTTTTGTAATTTTTGCATGATCTTTACTTGTCTATTATATGATAAGCATATAATACCAAAGTTTAGAGGTTAGGATTGTTTGGGTCCTCCTATATTGGAAGTGTTATGGGCTGTTAGTTTTTTATGTTTTCAGCGGTGAATGTGATTTAAATAAGGCTGGGTTTTAATTTATAAGTGACTGAAGAGAAGTTTGCCGGTCTTTTCATCAACTATGGGCAGGTATTTGATTTCATTGACCAATACTATCAACAATTGGCCCTATTTGCTTTTGAATTTGTTGATTAATTCTAGGAGTAATAGTTTTTCTTAGTGTTTTTTTGTTGAGTTCTATGATTAGTTCTTAAAAGTGTTGTATTCTTTATAAGGTGGTTGATTGCCGTGTTTGTGGTGACCCAAATTATGTGCTTCTTTCCGCTTTTGTTGAGTTCAAATATGAGGTTAAAGCATTGATCACAACCTTAATTAAGCTTAAAATCAAGACTTGTTTTACAAATCAACTTGTTTTGTGGTGTTGCAGATGGTGCACAAGTTGCATTGAGTCTGCCAGGTACTGTGCTTGGCTTTTATCCAATCAAAGTTCTTTCTTCTGAAGACTGCAATTGAGTGTTGAGAGAAAACTGGGTTTAGCTGGTAGAGATGAAAGTCTCTACACTCCACTACTGTCAGTTCTATCAAATTCAAGCTTCTCAGAAAGGTAATTTATAGGTTTTGTAGATTTGTAATGATTGATATGATTCAATTTCTTCTTTAAACAATAAGCGTTGATTAAATTTTATTAGTTTTATGGATTTGTTTCATATAATTTCATAAATATAATGATTGATGGTATTTTGATTTTTGGGTCATGTAAATTTTGATGAATTATTTGAGTTAATGTCATTTTTGGAAATTTGAGATTCTAATTTTTCTGTGTATTTTGTATTGTAGGTATTTAGTGATTCGAACACCTTTGTTCCAAGGAAGCTTGTTCGGGTAATTTTGTCTTTTTTTTTTTTTTTTTTTTTTTTTTTTTTTGGTGGAATGATAATTGAATATTTCTAAAAAATTTTAGTAAATGAATCAAGGGGTCTTTTTAAAAATAATTTGAAACTTTAAATTTGGGGGTTATTTTAACAATTTTAATTTTAAACCTGGGATATTATGCATTTATGCTGTCAAATAATATTATGTTCTTCTATGATACTGAAAATAATAGCTCTGTCACCCCACAATTTCTATGTTACTGCTGGAGTTATGTTATTTTGATGTTAATTTCTCATTATTTTAATTTATGTATATGTTATTTTGAAATAAGTACATGTTATTGTATACTTGCATGTTGTTTTTTTTATCATATAACTAATATATAAAGCTAAACTTTTAGCCAGACGACGAGATAGCGACACTTGGCGTTCTAATTTTTCGCCAAGTGTCGCGCCACGTAGGATAGAGTTATATAGAATTCAATTTGTAGGATAAAAAAATTAATTTAGAATTCTACTTTCAATCAAATTTGGATAGATTTTAGGATAAAATTGTTAATTTAGAGTTTTATTTTCGATAAAATACCAATATTTCATATGTACAAATTAAATTATAATTTTATTAAAAAAAATTATAACACTCATAAATTATCATATAAATTTATTTTTTGTATCATAGTATTTTTTTTTTTTGAGCGAAGGATTTAGCTCAAAATGCACCACATCCATTATTTATAGTATATTATATAATCAATTAAAACATTATACTTTACAATCTAATATAATCTAATTACTGTGCGTAGACCTGTAAATCGGGTCGGGTCACGAGTCATTTCGGGCAGGGTCATTATTTTAGGTTACGGGTCAAGAAATGTTTTACACCAATGTTATTATTATTATTAGTCATTACATGCCTACTATATAGTTTAAATCATCACAAAAACACATCAATTCCTAACTAATTTTGTATCAATGATATATTTTAAAATTTGACATATAGATTAAAAATTTATCTAAAAATTCAATAAACAACCCGGGCATCGCACGGGCACAAAACTAGTTTTATTTTTATTTTTAATCTATTTCTGCTTATCATCACTGTTTTGAGGCAAGTGTAGAGTCTGTAGACTGATGCATGGTAATTTCATAGGATTTTTCTTGTTATTCTTCGTGAATCAATGCTTATTTTGTGATACTAGGTTTATTTTTACATCATCTTGTTGTAATTGTACAGCTGATGTTGAAATAAAAAAAAAAAAAAAAAAAAACACACACACACACATAATCATTACATATTTGTTGTAAATTAAGCAATTTACTCAATTGAATTTTCAGAGTGTTCTGCCATACTTCAATAATTTTCAATTAAATACTAGCCATTAAATACTATAACAACAAAATAGGAAATGATTATGCTAAGTGGGTGAACATGGCCCACATAATACTCCATTAAAACTGCTGGTAACTTCTTAGACCTAGGATACTACTTTTATTTAGGAAAATAATCTTCCACTAAGGCACTAGATAATAACGACTAACAACTAAGTCCACTGATTTTGGGGCATTAAGAAACAATACTCATACATAAACTAATGAAATAAAGAATATTAGTATCTTATATCTACTAGCATACTAGATCGACAATAGGGACACTTGTGTTTTCCGGGAAGCCATCTGAAAATGCAGTCGCGATGAAATACGTGGTTGCAACGAGACAAGCTTATTGCATTTTCCGATGACAAGTTGTCAAGACAAATGGAGCAAATAGTATCATTACCGAAATCTTTTGTATGAATCCATTCAACGGTTTGTTTTTGCTTCCTAAACACCCACGGTAATATAATCTCGGAATATTGTACATTAGCGTGGCGCATAAGCTCGGGGTAAAGACATTTAAGGATCTCAACATCATCTTGTTCAAGGCTTTGATATTCAACATTTGTAAAAGGGATTTCATCAAAACTTACATTGTTGAGTTTGGATGGAAAATAAGCATATTCGTTGTCATCGAATATTTCATCAAAATCGTGTGTAGTAATATAGGAATCCTCTTGCTTATTAGCAGTAGTAGTATACACGAACAAAGACTGCTGATCCTCTTGTTGGCAATGCCTTCCATCGATGAGAATATCAAGCACAAACAAAAGTCCGGGATAAGCATCAATATTCCTATGATAACGGAAGCAAGACTTCAAATAGTCCGAAACGTTTCGAGAAATTAACTCTTTTGATTTAGGGCCAATATAATCTTGGATTTCCGAGATTACTTGTTTTGCCAATTCAGAAAAATCACCTCTGTGAATGGCGTAAACTTTGAAATAGACGAGTTTCCTAAGCAGATTTTGATCATATGATTTGAGATTTAGGAGGAATAGCCCTTGATTATACAAGAAAGATGGAGGGAACTCATGGGGAAGGAAGACTCGAAAGAGTTTAACATTATCTAGCTTTGCTTCATGCAGCATCATGTTTATGTTTATGGAGAACCTACTAAACCAAATACAAATATCAAATATTATGATCAAGTATGATTGTTTAAAGCTATGAATAGCTAGTATATTTAATTTGTTCTAAGCTAAACCTTGGGCAGTACGCTAACAACTCCTATGTTTCAGAGGATAATAGTAATAGATAGATTTAGGAATTAAAAAATATTGCCAATAAAACTTTCCATAACTTTTACTAATAATTTGTACGTGTTTAATACGGAGTAGGATAATAATGGATAGATTTGGAAAATAGGCGAAAACGATATCCTAAAAGTTACTATATTAAAAAAATCAATATTTGGAAGATTACGCTTAGTATTTCCTACGCTGTATAATATTAGCATAACCAAATTAGATAGATTAATAATTCTACCATATTTAAAAAATCAATATTCACAAAGCATTTTTTTTTTTTTTTTTTGGATAATATTGATTTATAAATTAAAGCATGTTAGTTTGAAGGTAACTTTTCACTCGGCCGACCCACCCCTATTACCGAAACCACCCCTCTCCCTTCCCTACCATTTGAATCACCCTCATGTATGAGGCATTTGAGAAGGATACAGTAAAGTATCTTCAGGTGAGACTTTGTTGTCATTGTTTACATTATAGCCTATAATCTACATGTATAAGCTTCCGTTATAGTTGATATGTTTGTTGCTGCATCAAAGCTGCCCATTTATTGATCGAGTAGTCGCTTCGCTTGATGACTATCATTCTTGCCAAGAAATAACTGCTATAATTGATAATACAATCATTTTGCACGTGATATGTGAGGAGTATCCAGTTTGGCAATATCATTCGCTCTGTACTTTGCTAATTTTTTTATTTGGGAACCCTTTGGCTGACTAGATTTAGAAACTTATATATTTTATTTTCAATTGGAGCCGTCAAAGGATTTTGTAGGGAATTTAGGCTTGTTTGGTTGAGTTTCTGGCTGGTATGTGTTAAGGTTGCCCAAATCAATATATGATGTTTGCTTAACAAACTTAGATGTTGGTACCAGTGAGTCCCAATATTAGAAAGCCCATTTGATTTATAAGATTAGGAAATTGATCCAGGGAAAACTTTTGTATACACCCGGTTTTCAGTAATTTACTGTATATCGGGTACACTTTTGTCAGATTTAGTGTCACTTTTGTCAAATTTAGTGTCACTTTTGTCAAATTTATCAATGAAACATAAATAACTTTTATATATGTCAGGGTAACTTTTGTGCGTTTTAGGTGTAACTTTTGCACATTTTATTGTCACTTTATAACGAATGTTCAGTAGTTACTGAATATCCGTTTTATTTAAAAGTTTGTCTTGATCCAGTGAGACCCACTCCTACAAAGCCCGGGAATTTTTCTAATTATACTTTATCAAGGATGATAACAATGACTATCTCATCACCCACATTCATCAGCATTGTCGCTATTGCCTCCTCTTCTCCCCTAGTTGCCGCTTCCTGTACCCAGCATTTCCATACTTGACCCTGCTTGCTCTCTTTCTCCCGCCAATAATCGCCACTGTGCATTGCAATAAGAACTACCATGATTGATGGAAAGGTGCATAAACTTTTATTCATTTCAGTCTGTATCAATAATCGTTTTCACCACAAAATATCTAGGTCTGGAACTTACGTAGGAAAAAGCCAAAGAGCAACTTACCAGTGGTTCATGATCAGGACAAAAAGGTGATGTTAAGAGGGGGAGGGGGGCTGAGGGGAGGGTGATTGATTTTAAAGGAGTATAGAAGAGAAAGAAGTATTATAGAAGGAGGGTGGAAAGATATATTAATGGGGGGAAGATTTTGAGGAGAAAGGTGAGAGCGATGAAAGGTGAATTGCCCCGGGGGGGGGGATGAGGAGAGTGAAGATTGCTTTGGAGGTGCAATAGGAGAGAAAGAAGTGTATGAAAAGAGGAAGGTGATGGAGGAGTTGGAGGAGAAAGAGGAGAGAAACAAGCTTCCTTGGAACAAAGGTGTTCGAATCACTAAATACCTACAATACAAAATACACAGAAAAATTAGAATCTCAAATTTCCAAAAATGACATTAACTCAAATAATTCATCAAAATTTACATGACCCAAAAATCAAAATACCATCAATCATTATATTTATGAAATTATATGAAACAAATCCATAAAACTAATAAAATTTAATCAACGCTTATTGTTTAAAGAAGAAATTGAATCATATCAATCATTACAAATCTACAAAACCTATAAATTACCTTTCTGAGAAGCTTGAATTTGATAGAACTGACAGTAGTGGAGTGTAGAGACTTTCATCTCTACCAGCTAAACCCACTTTTCTCTCAACACTCAATTGCAGTCTTCAGAAGAAAGAACTTTGATTGGATAAAAGCCAAGCACAGTACCTGGCAGACTCAATGCAACTTGTGCACCATCTGCAACACCACAAAACAAGTTGATTTGTAAAACAAGTCTTGATTTTAAGCTTAATTAAGGTTGTGATCAATGCTTTAACCTCATATTTGAACTCAACAAAAGCGGAAAGAAGCACATAATTTGGGTCACCACAAACACGACAATCAACCACCTTATAAAGAATACAACACTTTTAAGAACTAATCATAGAACTCAACAAAAAAACACTAAGAAAAACTATTACTCCTAGAATTAATCAACAAATTCAAAAGCAAATAGGGCCAATTGTTGATAGTATTGGTCAATGAAATCAAATACCTGCCCATAGTTGATGAAAAGACCGGCAAACTTCTCTTCAGTCACTTATAAATTAAAACCCAGCCTTATTTAAATCACATTCACCGCTGAAAACATAAAAAACTAACAGCCCATAACACTTCCAATATAGCAGGACCCAAACAATCCTAACCTCTAAACTTTGGTATTATATGCTTATCATATAATAGACAAGTAAAGATCATGCAAAAATTACAAAAATGTAAGGATTATGCAGAAATTATAAAATCGAATCTTAAAAAAAAATTCTGATAAAGAAGCGTTTACCTTAGCATATGTGCATTACTGTATATATGACGTGAATTGGAGTGATCAAAGGTGAATAGATCATCACCTGTCCAACAACAACAAGAACAATTTTGCCCTTTAAAATTAAAGTATAACCTTGAACAACAAAAGAATCAAGGTCACTCTACAAACAATCAATGAAAATAAATATTAGCAATGGAATAAATGCATGTTAAATGACAAATTTTCTCTCCAATTAGTCAAGAATTACATGTAGTCCACTAACCCCACTTTTTTCTTTGTTGAATTGTTATTGGTCTATGCCATCAATCATAAAAGGATGGAGTGATAGTTATCAATTTAATTATTAGTCATTAATTACCTTTCCTCAACCATACTTACACAACATCAGATTCTAGATTCAATAACCTTTCACATCAACTACACTCTCTACACTAAACAAATCCAATTTTTAAACTCAATACCAGTGTATGGAAAAGCACGATTAAGGCATGGAGGCGTGCTAGGAACTGACATAGCTTACAGCACTAACAGCGGCAGCAAATAAAAAGAAAATGATGATTATATTGATAAGATGAGAATTACAGCAAATCAGATAATTTTACTTTCGAGAGATGGAATCTCTCCTGAGTATGAGCTTTCAAGAGTTTCACTCTCTCTCAATGACAAAGCACACAATATTCAGCATGTCCTCTTCCCTCCTAATGAGACCTATTTATAGAAAATCCCTCCTAACAAACCTCTAACTTATTCCCCAAGTTACTACTAATAGACTATGACTAGCATACCCTTCCCCTAAATACTGATTCCTTGCAAAGCTCTAGGCAATTGGGATAGAGCGCTTTTTTGTTTTTTAAATTAGGAGGCACACACGACTCTGAGATTCATATCAAAAAATTTATTTGAGTTATTACATAGTGCACCTCACTTCAATGAGGTGCAATTAAGCGCAACAGGACCCCATCACCTTAGTGTGCATTGAGGTTCCTTATACATCGCTCAATACCTAAAACTTAGTGTTCAGTGAAAAAGTAAAACCCCCCTCCATCCCCATCCCCATACCAACACCTATGATCTCCTCCCATCAACCAACCCTTTTTCTCTTTGATACACTCCTACTCCCCAAAACGGCCTATCTCTCCCCACCTTCATCGTGGCCTCTTAGCTTCCTCTTTTTTCACTCTCTTCTCTACTAGAATCTACCATTCATCTCTCTCCTCTTTCTCCTCCAACTCCTCCATCACCTTCCTCTTTTCATGCACTTCTTTCTCTCCTATTGCACCTCCAAAGCAATCTTCACTCTCCTCATCCCCCCCCCCGGGGCAATTCACCTTTCATCGCTCTCACCTTTCTCCTCAAAATCTTCCCCCCATTAATATATCTTTCCACCCTCCTTCTATAATACTTCTTTCTCTTCTATACTCCTTTAAAATCAATCACCCTCCCCTCAGCCCCCCTCCCCCTCTTAACATCACCTTTTTGTCCTGATCATGAACCACTGGTAAGTTGCTCTTTGGCTTTTTCCTACGTAAGTTCCAGACCTAGATATTTTGTGGTGAAAACGATTATTGATACAGACTGAAATGAATAAAAGTTTATGCACCTTTCCATCAATCATGGTAGTGCTTATTGCAATGCACAGTGGCGATTATTGGCGGGAGAAAGAGAGCAAGCAAGGTCAAGCATGGAAATGCTGGGTAGAGGAAGCGGCAACTAGGGGAGAAGAGGAGGCAATAGCGACAATGCTGATGGTTGTGGGTGATGAGATAGTCATTGTTATCATCCTTGATAAAGTATAATTAGAAAAATTCCCGGGCTTTGTAGGAGTGGGTCTCACTGGATCAAGACAAACTTTTAAATAAAACGGATATTCAGTAAATTACTGAACATTCGTTATAAAGTGACAATAAAATGTGCAAAAGTTACACCTAAAACGCACAAAAGTTACCCTGACATATATAAAAGTTATTTATGCTTCATTGATAAATTTGACAAAAGTGACACTAAATTTGACAAAAGTGACACTAAATCTGACAAAAGTGTACCCGATGTACAGTAAATTACTGAAAACCGGGTGTATACAAAAGTTTTCCCTGGATCAATTTCCTAATCTTATAAATCAAATGGGCTTTCTAATATTGGGACTCACTGGTACCAACATCTAAGTTTGTTAAGCAAACATCATATATTGATTTGGGCAACCTTAACACATACCAGCCAGAAACTCAACCAAACAAGCCTAAATTCCCTACAAAATCCTTTGACGGCTCCAATTGAAAATAAAATATATAAGTTTCTAAATCTAGTCAGCCAAAGGGTTCCCAAATAAAAAAATTAGCAAAGTACAGAGCGAATGATATTGCCAAACTGGATACTCCTCACATATCACGTGCAAAATGATTGTATTATCAATTATAGCAGTTATTTCTTGGCAAGAATGATAGTCATCAAGCGAAGCGACTACTCGATCAATAAATGGGCAGCTTTGATGCAGCAACAAACATATCAACTATAACGGAAGCTTATACATGTAGATTATAGGCTATAATGTAAACAATGACAACAAAGTCTCACCTGAAGATACTTTACTGTATCCTTCTCAAATGCCTCATACATGAGGGTGATTCAAATGGTAGGGAAGGGAGAGGGGTGGTTTCGGTAATAGGGGTGGGTCGGCCGAGTGAAAAGTTTTGAAGCTTTAATTTATAAATCAATATTATCCAAAACCCAAAAAAAAAAAAAAAAAAAAAAAAATGATTTGTGGATATTGATTTTTTAAATATGGTAGAATTATAAATCTATCTAATTTGGTTATGCTATTATTATACAGTGTAGGAAATACTAAGCGTAATCTTCCAAATATTGATTTTTTTAATATAGTAACTTTTAGGATATCGTTTCCGCCTATTTTCCAAATCTATCCATTATTATCCTACTCCGTATTAAACACGTACAAATTATTAGTAAAAGTTATGGAAAGTTTTATTGGCAATATTTTTTAATTCCTAAATCTATCTATTACTATTATCCTCTGAAACATAGGAGTTGTTAGCGTACTGCCCAAGGTTTAGCTTAGAATAAATTAAATATACTAGCTATTCATAGCTTTAAACAATCATACTTGATCATAATATTTGATATTTGTATTTGGTTTAGTAGGTTCTCCATAAACATAAACATGATGCTGCATGAAGCAAAGCTAGATAATGTTAAACTCTTTCGAGTCTTCCTTCCCCATGAGTTCCCTCCATCTTTCTTGTATAATCAAGGGCTATTCCTCCTAAATCTCAAATCATATGATCAAAATCTGCTTAGGAAACTCGTCTATTTCAAAGTTTACGCCATTCACAGAGGTGATTTTTCTGAATTGGCAAAACAAGTAATCTCGGAAATCCAAGATTATATTGGCCCTAAATCAAAAGAGTTAATTTCTCGAAACGTTTCGGACTATTTGAAGTCTTGCTTCCGTTATCATAGGAATATTGATGCTTATCCCGGACTTTTGTTTGTGCTTGATATTCTCATCGATGGAAGGCATTGCCAACAAGAGGATCAGCAGTCTTTGTTCGTGTATACTACTACTGCTAATAAGCAAGAGGATTCCTATATTACTACACACGATTTTGATGAAATATTCGATGACAACGAATATGCTTATTTTCCATCCAAACTCAACAATGTAAGTTTTGATGAAATCCCTTTTACAAATGTTGAATATCAAAGCCTTGAACAAGATGATGTTGAGATCCTTAAATGTCTTTACCCCGAGCTTATGCGCCACGCTAATGTACAATATTCCGAGATTATATTACCGTGGGTGTTTAGGAAGCAAAAACAAACCGTTGAATGGATTCATACAAAAGATTTCGGTAATGATACTATTTGCTCCATTTGTCTTGACAACTTGTCATCGGAAAATGCAATAAGCTTGTCTCGTTGCAACCACGTATTTCATCGCGACTGCATTTTCAGATGGCTTCCCGGAAAACACAAGTGTCCCTATTGTCGATCTAGTATGCTAGTAGATATAAGATACTAATATTCTTTATTTCATTAGTTTATGTATGAGTATTGTTTCTTAATGCCCCAAAATCAGTGGACTTAGTTGTTAGTCGTTATTATCTAGTGCCTTAGTGGAAGATTATTTTCCTAAATAAAAGTAGTATCCTAGGTCTAAGAAGTTACCAGCAGTTTTAATGGAGTATTATGTGGGCCATGTTCACCCACTTAGCATAATCATTTCCTATTTTGTTGTTATAGTATTTAATGGCTAGTATTTAATTGAAAATTATTGAAGTATGGCAGAACACTCTGAAAATTCAATTGAGTAAATTGCTTAATTTACAACAAATATGTAATGATTATGTGTGTGTGTGTTTTTTTTTTCTTTTTTTATTTTATTTCAACATCAGCTGTACAATTACAACAAGATGATGTAAAAATAAACCTAGTATCACAAAATAAGCATTGATTCACGAAGAATAACAAGAAAAATCCTATGAAATTACCATGCATCAGTCTACAGACTCTACACTTGCCTCAAAACAGTGATGATAAGCAGAAATAGATTAAAATAAAAATAAAACTAGTTTTGTGCCCGTGCGATGCCCGAGTTGTTTATTGAATTTTAAGATAAATTTTTAATCTATATGTCAAATTTTAAAATATATCATTGATACAAAATTAGTTAGGAATTGATGTGTTTTTGTGATGATTTAAACTATATAGTAGGCATGTAATGACTAATAATAATAATAACATTGGTGTAAAACATTTCTTGACCCGTAACCTAAAATAATGACCCTGCCCGAAATGACTCGTGACCCGACCCGATTTACAGGTCTACGCACAGTAATTAGATTATATTAGATTGTAAAGTATAATGTTTTAATTGATTATATAATATACTATAAATAATGGATGTGGTGCATTTTGAGCTAAATCCTTCGCTCAAAAAAAAAAATACTATGATACAAAAAATAAATTTATATGATAATTTATGAGTGTTATAATTTTTTTTAATAAAATTATAATTTAATTTGTACATATGAAATATTGGTATTTTATCGAAAATAAAACTCTAAATTAACAATTTTATCCTAAAATTCTATCCAAATTTGATTGAAAGTAGAATTCTAAATTAATTTTTTTATCCTACAAATTGAATTCTATATAACTCTATCCTACGTGGCGCGACACTTGGCGAAAAATTAGAACGCCAAGTGTCACTATCTCGTCGTCTGGCTAAAAGTTTAGCTTTATATATTAGTTATATGATAAAAAAAAAACAACATGCAAGTATACAATAACATGTACTTATTTCATAATAACATATACATAAATTAAAATAGTGAGAAATTAACATCAAAATAACATAACTCCAGCAGTAACATAGAAATTGTGGGGTGACAGAGCTATTATTTTCAGTATCATAGAAGAACATAATATTATTTGACAGCATAAATGCATAATATCCCAGGTTTAAAATTAAAATTGTTAAAATAACCCCCAAATTTAAAGTTTCAAATTATTTTTAAAAAGACCCCTTGATTCATTTACTAAATTTTTTTAGAAATATTCAATTATCATTCCACCAAAAAAAAAAAAAAAAAAAAAAAAACCATAAAAATTATTTTTAGTAAATATAATATTTAGTTTTCCAATAAACTCCATTTAAATAATAGGAATATTTAACAAATTATATTCATTCAAGTCCAACAATGCGTTAATGTATGTGTTGCACGTTAAAAAAATAATAAAAAGAAATATGCACACAAATTCCCAAAATCTAACTAGATTGTTTTGTATAAGTGAAGCATACAAAATTTTACTTTAATTTATTTTCTTATTTGTTTTATATCTCTCGCATTTGTTATAATAGTAACAATTTTAATTAGGGTCTGTTCTCATAGACTGAACTCAGCTGAACTGAAATGAAATGAAATAAAATGAATATTTTATAAGAGAAGAAAATTAGGAGGTGAATTGAAAATAAACATATGAGAACAGGCCCTTAGTCTACACCAACAATTTTGTTTAAATAAAATAAGTTTGGAGAAAATAAGTCAAATTATTAATGTTTAAGGCTTTGAGACTTTGAGTGAATGGATTAGGATAGGTGCTAGTTGGGCCGATAGAGGGAAATAAAAGCACATTTATTTTGTGGCGTGCTGACTTCCGTAAAATGGGCCGGCCTTTACAAATTTGGGCCTTTACAAATTTAGTAACTACTTGTATTTTATGCACTATTTCACCCTTCTAAGATTTTTTTTACTAAGATGCTTATGAAGTAGCAATAATAGCAAGCAACTAAGCATACACTTTCATTCTAATGGCAACTTTAATCAATTTCAGGAGCAGGAATATTTGGCCATCTCTCAGATTCATCACTAGGAAGAAAAGGCTCATTAACCATTATATGTCTATTAAATGGAATCCTCGGTTGCTTGACCGCCTTCTCTCCAAATTACGCCTTCTACACCCTCCTCCGCTTCCTAAGTGGCCTAGGCACGGGTGGTGTAGGCATGTGTGCCTTTGTCCTCGCCACTGAACCCATTGGACCAACTAAACGCGGTGTTGCTGGTATGTCTACCTTCTATTTCTTCTCCGCAGGCATTGCACTTCTCTCAGGAATCGCCTATGTATTCCAATCTTGGCGATCTCTACTACATTGCATCGTCGATACCTTCAATAGTCTTCATAGCAATCGTTGTTCCTTTCCTCTCGGAATCACCTAGGTGGTACCTTGTACGTGGTAAGACAAAGGATGCAATGAATGTCATGCGACATATGGCATTGTCTAACGGTAGGATAATACCACAAAACGTCGAGCTTATCCTAGATGATGATGCTAATAACAATAGCAACAAAGACGACGACACATTACTTGATGAAGAAGAAGCAAAAGAGGTAATAACAAAGGGCTCTTTACTAGACGTCCTTAAGTTACCAACCACAAGAGTACGCCTTTTATTAGCTATTATGATCAATTTTTGTTGTGCAATTGTATATTATGGACTTAGTCTAAATGTTGTCAATCTAGACACCAACCTCTACATCAACGTACTACTAAACGCAATTTTTGAACTACCTTCTTACACAATAACCGCGATAATGGCTGATAAGTTCGGAAGGAAGCCAGTAACAATAAGTACAATGTGGTTTAGTGGGGTGTTTTGTTTGTTAGGGAGCATAATAAAGAGCTACGGAATATGGAAGAATTTACAAATGTTATGTGGAATATTGGGAATTTTCGGTATGGCCGGAACTTATAATCTAATGTTTGTTTATACGATGGAGATGTTCCCTACGGTGGTTAGGAATACGGCCTTAGGATGTACAACACAAGCGTCTCAAACCGGAGCGATTTTAGCACCACTTGTGGTGATGATGGGAAGTACATTGCCCTTTGCCGTGTTCTCTGTATGTGGAATTGTTGGTGGTTTACTTGTGTTTTGTTTGCCTGAAACTTTGAATCGGCCTTTGTATGATACAATGGCTGGTTTGGAGGAAGGTGAAGCTATTTTGAGCTATACATAAAAGAGTTTTAGTCCCTTTATTTGTTTCCTCTTCTTTAGTTCAATGTCACCTTTTTATTTTGGGTAATGGTAGATTTATATACTTATCAATACATTATAACAATACAATATATTTAACGCAATAGAAGTATATAATAGTATAATGCAACTCATATATATGCATGATTAAATCACACACTAATTAGTGTTTTAACCTTTATTTTATCTTAGAATAATAACTTCTATCTTCTTATATGCAGTTCTAAGAGTTGTATGTATCATTTTCCTTATAATTTTTGTGGGACTGATTTGGTCAATCGGTGATATGCCTAAGAGGAGTAGAAATGTAGAATAGAATCCTTAATATCTACTTGTTGACAATGTCAATCATAGCGTTTCAATTTTCAAAGTTGCAAGTTGCAATTTGATTAATTTGTGTATGTACTCAATTCTAGTCCATACTTGATAATTGTAGATTGCTTCATAATAAATTGACTGACAGAGTACGAGTAGTTCATTGCTTGTTTATTGGATTTTGTTTATGTGCCATTGATTTTCCTTTCATTTTCAAGGTAAATTGAAGGATGAATATTTAAACTCATTAAATGCAATTACGGAGTAGTTTATAGAAGTTATCATTCAAATGAAGTTTAACTTGGCGATAAGTCAATATTTTGCGTTTTCTAAAAAAAATTCAATATTTTGGTCTTAATTGGATCAATTCTCAATTAATTAATATGATTTACTCAAATTTTGAGTTATTTTTGGCTTATGCAGTCATTACATATTTACATTTATATAACTATGTGTTGTATGCTCCTTCAAAAAAAAAAAAAAAAAAAAAAAAAAAAAAAAAAAAAAAAAAAAAAAAACTATGTGTTGTATCTTGTATGACTAGTATCCAAAATTCTGTACAAATTTGATCAAGAATCATGCAATTTGTAAATTTCTAGCCCCATTAATTATTCTAATTAAAAGCAACCATCATAATTCCATTAAAGTTGTAGTTTAGGGATTTATAACAAAATAATAATGGGAAAGATGGAATTATGACTACAATCTCCACAAAAAAAAAAAAAAAAAAAAATTATAGGACGTCATAAAACAAAATTCAACTCCACCAATCACCAATTCACCATACACTTTCTTTGGGACCAAATCTCTATATAACTACACTATTTACATGGCCCTCCTAAAGATTCGGTTCCAATTATTCACAAGGAGCAAAATCATCACTCTTTTTCTATCGTTTTCAAGCTACTCTTCCATGTTCCAACTATGTCCTTTATATATAAAAAGTCAATCACAAGTTTTTAACCCTAAATCACTCATTAATAAAGTATCACACAAAGAATGGGGAGGCCATATTTAAGTTGAGATTTGTTAGGGTGCAAATTGCCACATCCAATCACTCTCAAGTTAGGTTTGAATTCAGGATTTACTTTTTTTATTTGAATTTGAAATTTTTGTTGATTTACTATTACTATTATTATTTATCGGTGATGAATAATTGAGAGCAATTTGATTTGGAATACAATCATCATTGAAGTAAATTAGCAAAATTTGGAATACATTTTGAATCTTGGACAAATTATCCTTTTTTTTTTTTTAATAATAACTTTGTTGGTGTTAATATTACTCTTTTTTCCTTCTTCAATATTATACTCGTCTTTAAATTTTAAACTTGCCAAAGAGCAAATTTAATTTGTGAAGCAATGGCTAGTAAGAGCAACACCAATGTGTCCATATATGAGCAAATTGGGCAACCGATTGTACCTTATAACTTTATAAGATATAACCGGTTGTGTTGACATATACGGAGTATATAATTTTCAACACACCGTGGGATAATTAACTTTCCTCAAATAAGCAAAGAAAACTGCTTGACATATTCACAAATGGAAGGAGAACAGTAGCTGCTATTCATCCAGCAAATTCACTTAATTACAGATCTCACAAGGTAATTAAAATACAAAGCGGATGATTACGATCAAAACATGAAAGGAGCTGCAGAGAAGGCTGGGAACACCATCGGAAGAGGTTCTCGGCTGTTAAACATGCAATAAATGAAATACGTTAGATGAAAATAATATCCACGATACCAAAATACAAAGTACGGAGTACTATTTAACTTAGCTTGTACTCGCTCTGTTCCTAATGATAGTGAGTAGACAACACTATTATATTATAAGTTATTTCAAATAAATATTAGACTCGTTACTTTCAATAGAATTACGTAGCATAATGTATCATATAGTCATATTACATCAAGTGATACCTTTCATCATCATTTAGAAATAAGAAAACACTAGTATGGTTATATGGTACAAGGTATATAAAATTAGTGCTCGTTATTAGGAGATTAATTAGTAGCATTACTTTATTTTAACCTTCATATATCCGTCTTTATCATTCTAGACATTTTCTTATACATAACAAAGTTAAGGCTGCTAATAATTTATTGGTGCAATTATTTGATTAGATAAGGATAAAAAAAAATTACTAAATTCTATTGTTTTGCTACTAAATTCAATTGCTTTGCTAACCTACCTTGTTTGACTAATTAGACATCCCAACTTTCCCTTTGTATAGTACTAAAGCATATATGTCAATGATTTCAAGGTGTTGCAGTTTTGAGAAAAGAAGAACCAAATATTTTCGTTTATCCATGTAACTTAAAAAAATATCTACAAGTATGATATAAACTTTAATGGACAACTTGATGGACCTTTTAACAATCTTTATCACTTAAAAAATGGAAATAAAATTTGCATAAAAAAAAAAAAAAAAAAAAAAATCAATCCCATGCTGCATGATTTAATACTTTATTATTTATGTTTACAAACTTTATCACTAATTATATGTTAAAAAAAATCATCAATCTCATGATGCATGATTTGATACTTTATTATTTATATTTGATGCTGAATCTTGTGACATGTAAGTGTTATGTATGAAGTATATGAACTGGCAACAAGAAAAAGTCTACTAAATTAAATTACAAATTTTAATCAATAATTAACTCCTTTGTGAACATCAAAGACGGATTATTGCTTGCAAATATGTCAACATCAAAAGTTTGGTTACGTGAAAAGGAGATTAGAATTACATGAGAAGAAACAAGTCAACAAATCAAAGCGAGGTATTTTTTTAATGTCAACAAAATACATTGAATTATTGTTGAATCATATGCAATAGGTGTATATTTATGATTTTAACATGATGACTCAATGCCTTTGATTTATCCTTTATTATATTTCCATCCAATTATTTGGATCATACTCCTTATTAATTAGTGAGTATGAATGATTTTATTCTTGGAGAATTTAAATCATTATTTTGACTAGTTCAAATGACAAAATGGCATTGAGTCATTTTCTAGACTAGAGAAGTATATAATCTATCTAATCTTTAACTCTATATATAGAAGTATATAAATTCTAGTCTAGAGCAAAAGGTTGGAATCAAGAGTAGATTATAGTTTCAAGGGCTTTAATCACACCATAAATCCGTAATATAAGTATTTAAATAATTAAAAAAAAAAAGGCTATTTATAAAAAGATTTGTTGAAAATATTACAACATACGGAGTATTGGTTGAGTGAAAGGGTGAAGGTTTACCAATTGGTTGTTGGTGTAGTGGTGATTGGGATTACACTTGGTAGGGAAGACTTGTGTTCAATTCCCCGCATCATTAATTGGGAGGGGAATGAAACCTAACTATCCATAATTGATCCTCAAATCCGAATTGGCTCAAAGGGTAAATTGGGCGGAAAAAAAAATAGTGAAGGTTTAAATCTTAATCACACTGTTCCTTATTTTTATCAACGACCAAATGTGTATCAAATCATAAATATTGTGACATGTCAATGTAATCTGATCCACATATGAATGACAAACTAACTAGAATTTGCATATCCAAACAGCTGATTGAATCCAACTGTCATACCATATCCAATACAAGGAGTATCTACACAAATTTCCATTATTAGCATTAAAAACAAACAAGTATTTGGAATTACCACCCCAAGGTCAAACCTTCTCCACTTACTTCCAAAATGTATCCACCAAAAAGCTAACAAAGGCGCACTATATAAAAGTTGATAGATTCTATTTTCAGGACTATTTTTTTCCACATTTTAATCGTGCTAAAATAAACCTAGCAAGAATACTAGTTTTTGGACATAATAAGTGATGTAACACAAAATTTGAGCTCTTATTTTGATTCACAATAAAAGGAGATTAAGATTTTAAGAGATTTTTAGTCTTTGATACATGGTTATAGCTTGTGACTTAATATTAAGAAATTAATATAATATGTATTATATAAGAAAAGTCTCATACTAATATATACTCGTATGATAATGCATAAAGCCAGTTTGTGCATAACTGGTAACATATGTGGTTTTCTATGAAATCATATACGGAGTACATATATCTATTATCATTACTTACACTTACGGAGTATTTTTTTATTTGCACAAACCAAACATATAAGAGTACTTCTTAATTTTTTGAAAGAATTTTTTATTCTTTTTAAAAACCTTGAAATGACATGAACATCACCAATAATTTAATTGATTAGTACATAATTGTTTTCATATTAATGTTGCCTCGTGATAAGTGGTTTGCCTATCTTCTCTCACTATAGTAGTTTTCTTAACTTATAGTTCTTGTATTATTAGAAGTTATCGTTTTTTCCAACTTGGCGATAGATGGAGAAATAATTCAATTATGATGTGAGAGGTTCTTAATTTCAACAACAATACGACAAAGTGATTAGGTAGTAAGTTTTTAACTACAAATATATGTACACATACACAATTAGGTACTAAATTGAGTAGCTACATACCTTTTTTACAAAAAGATAGTTAACACTCACAATTTTTATGAACCAAATAACTTCCGCAATTTATGTTGATCATGGATTTATGTATGTGATCAAAGTACACTTCGTGTGTTACCACTTACCATTATAGGTCACATGTAATGTAATCCAATTTTTAACAACAATTTGTTGAAATAGAACTCGTTCTAACCCTTATGACACAAAAATGATGCAACAATTTGAGAACAGAAAGCGATTTATTAACTTATAACATGCATATATTTTGTCCGTTAGCATTGACCATATTTGCTAACTCCTAAGATCAGATAAAATTTCAATTCAAAATCAAGTGAACTTCAACGAATTAAAATATTTAATTTAAAATTAAATGAGAACACTAGTAAAAGAATAGGTTTAAAAAACTTATTCATTTTACTCCAAGTAAAGACATACAAATGTAAATATTAATTACAGTTATTATTTATTTAGTTTTTTAAAATTTGTGACGATAAAAATATTTTTTTTTTCATTACAAAAATAATTAAAAATTTTAAAATTATTACTAATAATAATTTTTTTTTTTAAAGGAAGGGGTTAAGGATCCATACCCAAAATTATCATAGGAGCGAGAACGAGCATTGACCTCGACCGAGGACGAACCACACCGCTTGGAAGTCCTCGGAGACGCCGGTTTCCGGTTAACCGGCTTTTGCAAAGTCACCGAGACGGCGGATTCCTCCGATATAGGAAAAAGGGATGGCTTCCAATCGGCCGAGGAGCTCCTAGTAGGGGCTCGTTTACGACGTCGGTTAACAAGGGAGCGTGTCTCCTCCGTCCTCGGGGTCGGAGGAGACGTAGGCTCCTCTTCATCATTAGAAGAAGAAGAAGGGTTTATCATGGTGCAACAAGTTACACATTCAAAGAGAAACCTCATCTTCTTTTTTAGTCTTTTTTTGTGTTTGTTTAGTTGAAGAGGAGGAAAAAAAATGAAGCGGTGGATGAAGTTATATATTGTGAATGTTTAGGAAGATTTCATTAATGTTGGTAAATCTTGGTGATCACCTTGATTATGAAGTTATGATTGTATGAAAGATTGTGAATTTTTTGAGGATTTTTGATTTGCTTTAATAATAGATCAGATTTTTATTTTTTTAAGTGGATATTACTTTTCTTTTCTTTTATTTTTTACAAATAAAAGAAATGTAAAGTGTGTGTTGTAGGATTGGTTCCAATTTGCTATCAAGAAAATGACGTGTTATAATATTAAATGATATAGGGCCTGCTTGGAAAAAAAATTTAAAACTAATTTTCTTGATGGAGCAAACTTAATTATTGGGACAAATTTTTAATAAAACAAATTTGACAATTTAGATTATGATAAATAGTGTTCATTAGATACAAAGATACCTTCAAAAAATCCCCTCAAAAAAAAAAAAAAAAAAAAAAAAAAAAAAATTTACCTTAAAACAACCAAAGTAATGGTGATATTCCGTTTAAATTAAAAGTGTCATATTTTTATAAAATAATGTGACATAGCTCTCATGATAATAGAAATGTACGTTTCATCCATTTTTTATTTAATTAGCTGTAACGTGTTAAATTTCACCCTTGTTAGACCATTGCATAGTTCCAACCTTTTTTATATTTCTAAAATTGTAGATAAGTAAAAAGTATAAAAGAAATTAAAAGAAAAAAACAAATAATATTATGAAAATACTTCATTTAAAGTGAGATGAATGTAACAAAACCTCACATGATTATATTTTGTCTAACACGTAATTTTACAAAGGTGGTCAATAGAAAAATAATGTAAATAGTTTTAATATCTATATGTTGCAGGTAAAAGAGAACGAACTAAGAATGTTTATATTATAAAGGTGATCGTGTAATACTCTTTATCATTATTATCCCCTTATATATAATCTCTTAATTTACAATCTAAAAATCATAATGTACCATAATTTAATCAAGCTTTAGCTACCTCATATTTGGTTAATAGTTAGATTAGTTACTTATTTATTTGTTTGTTTTTGCTAAGCCTTTGAGTTGAATTGGTTACTTGCTTAGCGTTGATTCAAGTCTCTTAGGATTCAATCGACCCTTAGGGCCTGTTCTCATTGACTGAACTCAGCTGAACTAAAATGAACTGAACTGAACTGAATTGAGTTGAACTGAACTGAACTGAATTGAGTTGAACTGAACTGAACTGAACTGAAATGAATATTTTATAAGAGAAGGAAATTAGGAGCTGAACTAACTGAACTGAACTGAGCTGAACTAAACTGAACTAAACTGAACTGAGCTGAACTGAGCTGAACTGAACTGAACTGAACTAAATTTCAACGTAAGAGAATAGACCCTTTACTTACCCGACTACATAGTAGTAATTGTTAAGTACTCCTTATCAATCTTTAGTATACCCGGTATAATAAATGCTAAAGTGTTTGGAATATTGGTAAATTTTAAATTTATCATTAAACTTAATTAAGGATTTATCTTAAAATTTGAGTATATTCCTTGTATGACTAAGGGCCTGTTTTCATTGACTGAACTCAACTGAACTTAACTGAACTGATCTGAATTGAGCTGAACTGAACTGAGCTGAACTGAGCTGAACTGAACTGAATATTTTATAAGAGAAGAAAATTAGGAGCTGAACTGAACTGAACTGAACTGAGCTAAACTGAGCTGAACTGAAATGAATTTCAACGTAAGAGAACAGGCCCTAAGTCAAAACATGATAAAATGAAATAGTACGGAGGTTATAGAGTAACTTGGAGGATATGGCAATGCTTTGGAAGAAAGCTGTTTTACTTGGAATTAGTTGTTAGTTTGTTACTTGTTAGGTGTTGTAGAAATGCGGACAGGATGGAATCATGGAATCTCTGGCCTATTGACAATAATAATTGTGGTATTGGTTATATGAAATTAACAACTAACTTCATGCTATTATTGTTATATTAGTAAGTTCCGTATTTATCTAATATTGTTATTTGTTACATACTTCTTCGTTGCAAATTAGGTAACACCTTTCATTTAGGCATGTTTTACAACGTCGTACAATTGAACCGATTGGAGCTGAACTGAACTGAGTAGAACTTAAATGAATATTTTATGAGTGAAGGAAAATAGGAACTGAACTGAACTGAACTAATTGGAGCTTAATTGAACTGAAATTAAGCTGCGGTGAACAGGCCCTAAATACTAAATTTTTAATTATGTATAAGCAAAAATTATAAACATTTGATGTGATATTTTAAAAATAGATGCTAAGACGAATTGAATCTAATAAGACCTCACCCCACATATTTATTTTATACCGCTAAATTACAAAATCAAGTCAAAGTAAGTTATGTGAATAATGCACAAAGTCAAAATGTATTGAATTAAAAGAAACGAAAGAAGTACAAAATAATTTTATCTCATGTAAGTGATCGTTTTATTATATTTCGTAATATAGTCATTCGGCTATATTCTAAAGAACGCGTATATAAATTATCTTTAAATCTTCAAATGGTATACATACTCTTTAATATATTTAGGATGAAAGACAATATTATGTATTAATTAGTAAGAGACGAAAAATATGTTGAGACTAATCCAATGGCATATTAAACAAAAATACTTGATTTTATATAATTGTTAAAAAAAAAATGATGTCAAAGTTGATTCGCCACATTAATATGACTTGATTCGTCACGTCGATTTACAAATTGCTAACTCATATAACAAATACTTATTGTTAGAAATATATAATTGAAACCAACATTAAATAGGCGTTGTTAAGTAGATTTATCAGTCACCTAGCTAAATAGTTGTAATGCCTTCATAACAAGGGAACAATAACGAATTTTCTTTTGATTTGTTTTTTTGGTTGATTGTTGCATTTAACCTTCAAAATTAATAAAAGTAAATGATATTTAATTTAACATGAACGTGAAATGCTACATGTGAATAGTTCTTTAGTTCCATTCAAGATATTATTTGTGGACAACAAGAATACCATATTCACTAGGTTATAAATTGGACAAGAAAATGCCGTGTTAAATAGGGAAATAAATGGGTGTAATTACTCTCCAGAACAATAGTATCCAGGTTTTATGTCAACTTAAATTAGCTTGATTCCTATTGTGTTTGTTCTTTTGAAAGTGACTTGAATGAATTTCTACTAATTAACGAATTAATTAAATTCTTTGTTTTCATGTCCCTCCAGGTGTGGATGATCGATGGAGCATTCACAAACATGTGCGAGCTCACACATTGCACACATTGCATACTCCTAGCTAGATACAATCGGGTGCACCTACGACTTTTATAGTTCTATGTGCGATTAAATTTATGTGCAACACGTTGTGTCAGTTCTGTGTCGTTTAGGTTTCTACTTTCTAGCCTTCTCTTTCTCATATAGTAATTGTATGTAGATAAGTTCACTTCAAGGATTATAAGCTCATATGGGTTGTGTTTGATTCAACTTGTATTAACATATAAGCTCATAGTATATTTGATAAAATTAAGTTGAGGTGAATAAAATTAAGTTTAGAGTTTAATTCATGTATTAAGTGCAAACAAAAATAACTTAAATTAAACAAAGTATTGTATGAGGAGATATGGGCACAGGGCCGACAGCGTATGAAAGCAGGCCCGACCCTTAGGATGTGCAGGGTGAGTAACTGCACAGGGCCCAAAAGTTAATAGGGCCTCATATCAATTTAAGAATATAAAAAATAAGCTAGCATTATTATTGAGAATCTCTTGTAGGTAGCTCAATGGTCAGATGCTGGAGAATATTTACAAGTGGTTCAAGATTCGATGACTCTTGTGAGCTTCACTCTTTATTTTAATTTTTTTGGGTGACAAAATTATAAATTAGATGGGGGCCCATTTATTTTTAATCGCACAGGGCCTCCGTATACTTTGGGACGGCCCTATATGAAAGATCGATATGTTATCTGGATACGGATCCCCAATAACTAGCAAACATGTCAGCAGACATCCACAAAGCAGATATGTCGGCTTATCAGTGATCGACATGTGGCAGCAGCGATTTGACATGTGGCGCAAGGTACTTTGCATGTCATGCAGCCGTTTGTCATCTGGAAGGGTTATTAATAATCAAGCTTAATCTCATAATCAAGGTAGTATTTATTACACTATCTCTCTCTCTCTCTCACACACACACACACACTTTCTCTCTCTTCTTATATTCTTAAACACTTTATGACTTTGTCATCGGAATGGTTACCTCCGGATCTACCCCGGGGTTAGTTAATCTATGTTCTTTGTGTAGGTTCTCATCTGGACGATAGGGGCCTAACGGATTTCAGGTTCGGGCTTTGGATCTCAGAATCGGGTTATTGAATCCTGACAGAAACAAGTATAAAGCTAAAGATTATCTAATACTTGTATAAGCTTTGGTATAATTATTATATACTCGCATTCTCTTAAAAGAGATCTTGTTAATTACTCCGTATACAACAGTGTGTCTTCGACCTATCTTTTCACTACTCCTTCCGTCCCTAAATTACATTCCTCTTTGAAAATTTACACGGGAATTAAGGAGGAAAGAATAAGACAAATAACAATAATTAGATAATGCAATGGGAAGTACAAAGATAGATTAGTTATTACTCATGGCATGTCATCAACCCTTTGCAAAAAATAAAGGACCAATCACATGCTCTTAATTGAAAATTTTTAACCAATCATATTCATTGTAATTTGGCACAAGGATTATGAGTGAGATTAGGTAAGAATGAGTGAGAAAGCATTAAATATAAAACAGAAAAAGAGAGTTGATTTACTAAAAAAAACTTATCAAAAATAGTAAGGAGGAATGTAATTTTGGAATACCAAAAATAGAAAGGAGGAATGTAATTTAGGGACGGAGGGAGTAGTTAATAAAAGAGTAGATGTTATTATTCTAAAAATCGTACACATGCCCAATTTGGTTAATACTAAAAATAGTAATACGTAGTACATGAAGTAACATGTTTGTCAAATACATTTTAATAGTGCATGTTTATTTATCTTACACGAATGGAAGGCCAGCACAAAGATAGGAGCAACGTGGTACACACTCACCTAAGCCTAACTGTCACTTTAACCTCTCATTCATATTTTTGATAGTTTAGCGATACATAATTGCCTTCCCGACAAGGCAGCAACAGAAAATAATTAGCTATATATGCAAGTACCTAAAACTGTTAGATATTTTGGAGGACTAGTCGACTGTCGACAGGACTAATCGACATGGAGTACTACCTCCATTTTATATTATGTGTAACAAACGTCTTCATACAGACTTCTATATAAAATTTGTTCAGTTCCTTACTCTAACAAGTAAGCAAATTGACATTACCTTCTTTTCTTACTAACAGGGCAAGGGCATTCGATGCATCTGATTCAATTCCCGGTCCGCCCGCTCTTTCACAACCGAGGAGTACACATCGATGAGCTTAAGTAAGCGTTTTTGACTACGTTGATGCAACGAACTCTTTCTATTCCACGAGCAGACACCGGTCGAGACTAGTCTCCTACGTCAGTGGGAGATCGGATATCGGACCCGCTTCCAATCCGGAATCTCGGTAAGTGTTAAATACATAAAAGAAAGATAGAAATGCTTGTGATGAGGATATATATAGAGAGAGAAATGACACTTAAATTAAAAAGGAAATACATGTTGCATGTAATGTGTAGCGTACTAGCATCCGATTCTTTGTAAATGTTACACATAATATGAAAAGGATGTAGTATATTTATGACAAATTTGTAAATAGTTACACAAACCAGTTACATGATTATAATATCTATCAAGATATTATACAATTTATGTTTGCTTGTCTGATCCGTATTCAAATATAGGGGTGTCCATTCGAACTTTGGATTGGACTAAAGCCTAGTCCAATCCAATCCGAAATATATTTGGACTCTCATTTTATAGTCCAAATCCAAATCCAAAGTTTTCAAAATCCAATCCGATCCAATCCAAATTAAAATTTCATAGTCCGAATCCAGTCCGATCCAATCGGAATTAATAATAAAAAAAAAATTTCTAAGAAATGATTTAGGGTTTCTAGTATATAGTAATGAGGGGATTTGGCAGATTTGGGCTATTGGGTTTGGGCTTACTAATTTTATATGGATTGAAGTTTATTATTATTTTTTTTAATTTTATATATATATATATATATATATATATATATATATATATATATATATTCGGACTATTTGGACTGGATTGGACTTTTTGAACTTAAAAAATTTGAGTCCAAATCCAATCCGAATTTCAAAATTTTTGAGTCCAAATCCAATCCAAATTTAAAAAAGTCCAATCCAAATAGCTTATTTGGATTGGATTGGATTGGATTTTGGACTGGAGTCCGAATAATGGACACCCCTATTCAAATATATATACTTCCTTTGTTTCAAATAATTGACACTAGTTTTTAAGGCACACAAATCAAGGTACATATTTAACCATTAATACGTAGTATATGATATACCAAGTAATCTAATATAATATATATATATATAAAGGGGAGTTTTTTCCCGAGTTGTTAGAGAGTCACGTAAGATCTAATTTTCTCAGCGCGCCATGTAGGATTATAAATCTTAGTAGTAGCCAATTAAATAAGAGATTATTAATTTCTTTTAGAATTAAATAATTTAAATGTCATGTAAGCAAAATTGACGAAGAGGTTTTTAAGTTTAAATTAATTAAATATTATATATTATCTTTTAATATTAGGAATTTTATCTAAATATATAACAAATTTTAGGCTCATAAATACAAAAAAAAAAACATTATTTAAAAAAAATCAAACAAATCGTGCATCGCACGGGCTTCATCTAGTCTAATATATATGGGAGTTTTTTCCCGAATTTTTAAAGAGCTTTAATTTTCTTAACGCGCCACATAGGATTATAAATATTAATTGTACCTAATAAAATAAGAGATTATTAATTTATTTTAAAATTAAATAATCCAAATGACGTATAAGAAAAATTATCGAATGAGATTTTTTTTTAGTTTAAATTAATTAAATATAAAATATTATCTTTTAATATTATGAATTTTATGTAAATATATAACAAATTTTAGCACATACATAGAAAAAATATTATATATATATTTTTTAAAAAATTCAATCAAACCGTGCATCGCACGAGCTTCATTTAGTACTTTAATATTTTTCAATTTAAAAAAAAAAAAGGTAATACAATAATAAGAAAACAAAATTTTGATATTATAAGGATTGTTAACATTGTACTAATTTTTTTTTTTTGACGCAACATTCTACTAATTTAGCATACTTTACATGATATCATTGATATTTTATTTTTTTATTAGTGTGTATATATATATAGGTGGTCACAACACATATATAAGGCAGGCTGTATATATAATCACTAGAATGATCACATAGATTTTAGATTGCTATCTTTGATAATGAGGACATTTTCGATCCTTTATCATTCTAGGGTGGATATTGTGTATTTATTGTAAACCCCTTATCTATTTATACGTAACTACACGTATCATATATGCACAAGCAAATAAGTGATGGTGGGATACTTGGGATTCAATAACTCATGCTTCTGTTCCATCAAAAAAATTGATTTCTCGAGGAGGTGTGTAGAAGAACCCTTAAATAGTTGATAGCTACAATTCTCAACTTATTTGTCCATAATCCATATAATCTTAGTCCTCCTTTCTATAAGTAGAACCTATGGAGGGTTGGAATTACACCCTTTGTACCTATTTGTTTGTCTCATTGGCGTCACACCAATTTTGATTTTTGTAGTTACATCCTTTTTTATTTATGTAATGCAAAATTTTGTGTATTATTAATATGTGATTAAGATTGGTTAATACTTCTTCCGTTCTCTTTTACTTGCAACACGGCTTCATATTACGCAATTTAAGTAAGACATTTAATAATGTAAAGAACAAATTAATCAAAATACTTTATCACACACTACCTAACCTTTTCCAATTTCCGTTGTTAAAAAATACTTTATCACCTACTACAAAAAGTGTCTTAAAACTGTGATGGAAGTAAAAGAAAACGGATGAAATAATAAGTAAACAAAAATTAAAAGTTCTAACCTATTTTACCCAAGAGATTTCAAATCTGTTCTTCTTATCTGATTGTGACAAGAGTCTCATTATAAGCTGTGTCTGAGGGGACTGTGTTACGAGGGAGTGTCTGTGGAAAGGCTGCTCATTGGGTATGTCTCTTGTATTATTACAGAGATTATATGCTAACTTATGTGCATCAATCACATCAAATTGAATAAGGCAGTGCCAGTGCCGGTTTTTGTACAAGAAAGATCATCTTAGCAAACCTAGTACATAAGGATGATCATATCAGTGAATCGACAAACGAAAACTCTAACCTCAGTTTGTATACTTCAATTCTCAAAAGGCAAGTTTCAGCTATTTTACATTCACTCCTTGATTACATTTCAGTTCAAGAAGTCTATACTTGGTTCAATATCAGTGATCCAACACAGAAAGCCGGATTTGGATTTAATACTAAAGTTCATTAACTAAAGTTCTCATAATGAGTACAAAAATAGATCAAGAATATACTATGACCATGATAACTGATAAGAATGAACCACACTTCCACATCAAAATGATAAAAAAGAGCAAGTATTTTTATCGTTGAAAATTTGAACCGAATGGAGGGTTTCCAAATTGCTGTTGTGTTGGGGGAGGTCGTGGTTTTGCATACTCAGCAAAAATCACCCATCCGTCTAAGAACTGCAGTAACAATTAAAAAACAAATTATTAAACCACAAATTCAGAATATTGCACATCAGCTTCTGCTAACTATAATAAGGAACTTCTGTAATTCCAGAGATATACAGTATTGAGTTGGGAGCGACTAACTGAAAGACTATCATCAAATAACCAGCATCATCAACAGGCACCAAAAGGTACTAAAAGGGACTCTATTTAATTATCTTACTGAACTTGTACTCATTGAGTCGTTGGGAATATCAGCATCCAACATTCCAACAGTCAGCATGAAGTAGCAGCAATTACTCAAGTTTCCCAGTAAAATCATTAACACTGAATAATCTACTCACTTCCAGTGTGCTTTCCTCCATATTCTTAGGGCTTACGCCGTTTGGGGGTACAACTCAATGAGGAAAATATCCTAGTTCAGATCCAAGATATAAAAATCAAAATCCGGACTCAATTTACATAATCTAGCCCAAATTGAGGTGGATCAGCGAGTTTGGCAAATCTGCTAGTTTTGTTTCAGACATACCAGATTTGCTCCACAAGGGTGCAAAGACATGAGATTCCTTTTTTTTTTTTTTGTGAGGCTGATTTGAAGGGTGTAGCGGCTGCTGACAACTAGTTCTTGCTCCTTTCTTCTAGCTGTATGGAATTGTCTTTTGGGTCTTAGTAGCACAAGGACTTCTGTTTAGTTTGGTTAGTTAGTTTCGGCTGTAATCTTGACCACGTTGTTGGCCTTATTTCACTTTGCATCAAATTTTCTCTTGTAAAATTTGTGATGCTTAATGTAATTAAACTATGGCTTTTAGCCTTTTAATCTAAGTCTACTCTTTTATGTTAAAAGAGAGTGTGGGAAGCAAAAATCATGTCCATGTTTGGGTCCCTATCTAGGCAACTTGTAAATGCAGCTTCTACTAATGAAGTAGTCAGTAGTGATACCTCATTACCGTTTGACTAGCTCACACCATATTTCAATAACCTATGCTTATTGAAATTAGACTTGCTCACACCAGAATATATCTGATCAAACCAGACCATAACTTAACCAAGTACAGTTATGGTCAAAATTGAGTCTAACCAGACCAGATAAACCCCATGAGAAATATTAAGACCAGACCACACCAGAAAAATTCAAACCAAGCAAATCAGATACGAACTTATAAAACCACACGAAGACCTTATTTTATAGTCTAAATTTAGCAACTAGTAGCAAACTAGTAAATAGAGTTGTTCATAAACTTCATAGGTTAAATTATTAAGAAAATAAGGATAGAAATTGCTCACGCACGTTGCCATCCATGCCTGCCTTTCCTGCGCTAGCCTCTTCTGTAGTAGCATATCTCACAAAACCAAACCCTTTAGAATATCCTGAGACGCGATCAGTCACCACTTTGGCTGCAATAATGTAACCTTGTCAGCAATATCCCAAGCACCCAGGGAAAATAAATTCAAAAATAAAAACTTTGCATAAATGTACCATGAACCACTTCGCCAAACTTTGAAAAGGCTTCTCGTAATCCGTCTGTAGTAGTACGTTTGCTAAGACCTACACACAAGACATTATCTATGTATCAGCAATATTAAGTAAAGACAACTTCTTCAAATATATAGGCAGCAGCATATTATTCTCCAAGAAGACAACACTAAAGTCAGTGGAAGTACAAAATCCACATCATTTTGCATACACTAGTGGATTAAAAGGAAGAGGATTAATGCATCACATTTAAAAACAGTGGCAGAAATCGCAGCAAAAATGAAAATCTAGTACGTTGGTAATGAAAGTAAGAGTGGCTAAGTGCTTAGCCTAATAGGCATATAAACTTTTAAAAGCATATAGAAAAAAGACCCTAGGGAAACATGCGGGCACGTACATGCATTGCATACTCACAATAGAAGAATTAAAAGGCAACTTGTCCCCACACATAACCAATCACTGGCTCATTTATGATAAACGAGTCTTCTCAGACACATTTTACAGGCCATGAAATTGCTTCACCGAAGAAATTCCCCTTTTCATCACAAAATTCACCTATCATAGCCCAAGAGCCAAAACCCATTCTACACAAAATATATGCCACATTAGTATTTCTGAAAAAATTGATTTATTCACTTCCATATTTGAAAATTGTATCATTAATAGCAACACTATCACCACCAATTCAAACAAAAGCATCCAACCTTTGTTGCATGGGAAAAACATTGCTCTACAGAGGCTTCTAGAGGGTAGAATAGTTTGATGGAACAAAGCTGCTGCTTCAAAGCTGCAATGGACCTTTATTAATAGAAAAAGATGCTCTTTGGGTTAAGCGGGTGAATAGCTATTATGTAAAGAATTTTGATGAGTTTGCTATTCCAGAAATTGTAATGGGTGGTGGATGGGACAAAGTTAAGAAAAATCAGAAACCATTGGTGGTATCAATTCCTTAGGGAGAACTATCTGCAACGCCAGGCTACCCCTTTTCTTTAACACATTATCTACAAGGCTACCACTAACAGTCTAGTCACTGGTAAATTCAATGCAATGTGATGTATTCTTTGTGCAATGACCATGATTCTGTAAATACCTTCTTCAAATGAGATTAGTCTGCTGATGTTTGGATTAAGGTTATGGTTGAAGTTCAATAGAAAGCTTGCAGAGCTGGAAGTAGAAATTCCTAAAGCCATATAAACTAGCAAGAGGCTATGAATCGATTGTATCTGAAAACAAATATTTTTATCTCTAGAATTAAGTCTCTTAATGCAGATCATTTACATAGTCTGCTGTAGGTGTAATGATAATTCTCACTCTAGCTTCCACTTATGTAGCTTAGGCTCTGTTCAGCAGTTCCTCTCTGTCTACATGAAGAGTTTTGATCTTCAACCCTTCCTAGAAAGTGGGGAGACAGTAATTCTGATGCAATTTTCTCAGGTTTGGGTTTATTTTTATTTTCAAAATAATATTGAGTTAATTCTGGTGCTTAATAATAAGTTTTACTATTAAAACAAATTATCTTCTGCCCTTTTCCTGAAAACAATTCTATGGGAAAATGATCAAGATCAACATATAGGCATGCTTTAAAAACAGGTATAGAAATAACAACTAGGGTAATGCTAGCAGAAGAAGAAAAAAAATCAATCCAGCCAATGCATCCATCTGATGCCAATACCTAAAATTCAGACCGCTCACTTTAAGTGAGCCTTGCTTCAATATCTTTTCATCTAATGATAAGATCAGATCAGCAGTTTGGTTACTTTCGCTCAGCTTTTTGAGCATATTTCAGGGTATAAACTATTTCCTTAGCGGTAAATCTACTCAAAAAAAGGTCACAATATTGAGGAGCTAGTAAAACAAACTAGCCTACAACTTATTGGAATTTGCAATCACAAGAACTCCACTTTTGGGATTTAGCATTAGTGTTGTAGGCAAGATCTTGAGGATGGTGACAATTTGTATTTGCTCAAATTAGATATGGGCTTAGGCAAGAGGAAGATTTGAGTCTATGGAAACTTACAGTCAAAAGCATTTCTTTATTGCAATTTAAGATTTGTCGGCTAGCACAACCAATGTATAAATAGGCCCAAGGCGATAAGGATTGCCTCAAATCGCCTTACGAGTGCCACAATGCACCTTAGTGCATCTCATTAAAGCATGGTGCAAATAAATATAAATAAGGGGTTTTCTACATTATGACCCTCTAATTTTCTGTTTTCTAAGATGTCCCCCCCCCCCCTTGAGAAATCCACACTATAACCACAAAAATACATTTAGTTTCTGTACGGTAACGGTAACCTTGTCGTTATCCCGCCATTAACAAATTCCGTTAGTGGGGCCCACTCTCCACTCAATAATATTTTTTTATCGATTTGTGTGTTGGAAATTGTTCAGTTAAAGGTTTTACGGGCTATGTTGTCCCTTAAGCATCCAAATTGAGCTCAGATTTGGCAAAAAAAAAATAACGTAAATTTCTCGTTTTGCGGTATTAAATGTGTAAGCTCACAAATCGAGATATTTCTTAAAACGCAAAAAGAGGCGTTTACGTGTTTTTGTCCAAAATTTGAGCTCAATTTGGTCCCTTTAGCACCAAAATAGCCCCCAAAACCTTTAATGGAACAATTTCCAACACAAAAATCGATAAAAATTATTATTATGTGGAGACTGGACCCCAATAACAAAATTTGTTAACGACGAGATAACGGCAAGGTTACCGTATGGAAACTAAATGTTTTATGGGGTTATATTGTGGATTTCTCAAAAAGGGGGGCACATCGTAGAAAACAGAAAGTTAAAGGGTAAACCCAATAAAAAAATTGTGCACCTCAACCTTTAGTGTGTCTTTTGGTGTGTCAAAGCACAGCTTAGTGAAATCAACCCGCCTAAACCAAAAAGGCACATGGTTCATGTCACCTTGGACCTAAGCGCACCTTTTTATACGCTAAGCATAGCCATAAAGGAGGACTTTTGAACTAGATCTACCCAGCCAGGTACATGTATAAATATTGGGGTAAAAAGAAGGTGAGCACATTTCCCAAACTTCTCCAAGATCAACGAAAAGGAGGAGAAATTCCATCAATATAAACAATCATAGGCTCCATTCCTAGCCAAAATTTTAATGTCTTAGTAAACATCCAAATCCCCAAACCTAGCCTACCTACCTATGAACCATATCTGAAGCAAAACAATGCAAGCCATACGTGAAACAACACTTTGCAGCTACGGTCAAGGCCTTTGTTGCTACAAAAGAAACTCCAACTAACATAACTTTGGGCAATATTTGACAACAAACTATCATCAATTAGTCAACCTATCAACCCATTAATATTTAACCTTCAATTTTATTTCTCCAGGCCAAAAGCTTACATCCCAGTATCCCACTAAAGAGATAAGAGAGGTAAATCCGAGATCTAATTTAACTCACTCAAGACCCATTTTTCCAACCCAATTCACCTTTTAATACAGCCCATTCACTTTCGAAATTAAAAACCCCCAAGTATGTTTTCATCTCACAAACACACAACACCAAAACTAGCCTCCACTGATTGACATCTTAACAGGACAGCTTCAAGGTACCTTTCAAACATGACGAACTGTGGCCTAAAATCATTGTCAGGGGCAGATGAACCTGAATACTACATACCTTGAACACAAGTTGGAAAGTTGAGCAGCCGGTAATATAATAGATGGGCCTAGTGGGCAGGGATGGGTAGGGTAATATTGGTATTACAATGTTAGTTATTAGTATTTGGTTGGAGAGGAAGGCAGAGAGTTGGTTAGAGGAAAGAGAGGGAAAGAAAGAAAAACATCTATAAATGAGAAAGAGTAGGAGAAAGGAGGCAGAAAGAAAATTGATAAGTCTAGTTTTGGGAGTGCCAATTACTATAAAAACTAGGCTAGGGTTGCAATTACCCTTAGTGATTATTTAATTGTATTGCAGAAACACTTTCAGTGTTCACCCAACATCTCTCCTTAAATCCAACAATTACAAAACATATCAAGATACAACCATTTATCAGTTATCTTCCAATTTTTCTCTTTGTCTAAGTCATCATCTTCAAGATTCTGATCTATTACACTATCTCAGAATCCAGCATAAAGTCCATAGCCTTATATCTTATGTATCATTCACAACCTCATTATTTGGTAAATTGCATCTGCATCGATAACCCAAAAATACAATTTTTCTGAAGAACAGTATTCGTATTCTGGAGAGGAGCACTTGAACTCTACTACTCTAAATCTTGGATGGCTTGATCCCTCTTATGTGGACTACAGTAATTAAAAAATAAATTAATTAAGAGAGAGGGGGTCATTTATACTCTTATCAAGACCCCCCCCCCCCCCGCGGTTCTTCAGAATAATCACAAAAGACATTAACAAATCATCCCAACACTCCTAAGCCCCACATAGAGTAAAACTTAAATCATTACAACCTATAGCTTCAAAGTCTCTACAACAACAATTTCATCACTAGATTCCTTTTTCTAAACACCCCTCCCACTTTTCACAACTAAATCGTCATCTAACCCACACCAAACAATACTTCAACACAAATTCAAGGAGAAAAGACTAAAAGCACCCAAAAGCCAGTCTCAAGAAACTAGAAATCTTCATGCAAATTCTAATTATACAAGTCTCTTCTTCTACCATAAAGCATGCACCAGCGTTTGCCATATTCCTATCTCATATGAAACACTCATAGCTGTCGCCACCTACTCCCCTTTTTAATCTCTTCATAGAATCATACCCCAACTCTCCTTTGACGCCTCTCCCTTGTCATTATTAAAATTTTTGTACAAAAAGAACATTGGTAGTAAAATTTTGCCTATCATTCCATATATGGAATTGTGGTGGCCAAATACAACCCTCCTAGATGTTTGTGTGGGTAATAATGGAACTTTTCAATGGTCATACACTCTTTGTATCAAAAGAGGCGGTGTTAATGATTGTGGTCCTGGAGGTAGTATATGTAGTGTAGTGATCCAAGTAGACAACTAGTATGGAAGTACAATGTTTTTTTAAATTTTAGTTCAAGAGATAGGAGCCGGGAGGAAATCAAACCCAACCCAAAGCCCGAGAAACCCCTACCTTGGTGTTCATATGGGTTCTGGGCTCCACGCACATATGATGAACTTTTACTATTGCATCATCCAAATGCAAATAAATCACACCACCCCCAACTCTTTGAAATCTCCCCTATCACAACACAACTATCAAATTGAATGCACAGAGGTTTATGATAAATGTGGCAATGCCCTAGCAAAGAGACAGCTATAAATAGAATCAAAGACCTAAACTTTACTATTAGCCTAAATACTTAAACTATTAACAGGCTCTAACTTTGAAGACCCCAATTAAAAACGCTATTATGCAACTTCAATTTGCTAATACACCCTCATAAACAAACAAGAAAATTAAAAATATTATTAGAAAAGCCCGAAAAAGCATTATAAACAGATTTTAAACAACTATCAATTCAAATGCTCAACAACGATGCCACCAAAACCAAACATATAAACATTCCCATAAAAGCAATCCAAAATCGGCAAAACACCATCAATTTTCCTTTATCATGTTTCAATTTAATTCCTAACACAATATTTTATCACATAGTGACCAACGCCAATCTCTCTTCATTTCTTCAAAAAGATATGAGCTTCATCTAATTCTTAATGAATTAGACTGATTAACACAAATAAATCTCATACAAATGAACTTGAATTTGTTATATACACTCGGGTGTACCGTACACTCAATTAATCTAACGTTAATTTTTGCACTTCATATTATCAAAATCAGAAAAAATACTCGTGGGTGTACAATAGTACCGTACAGTCGGATGTATATAACAACCTCTTCAAATTAACAAAAATAAAAAATTGAAATAAAATGATAGAATAAGAGGAAAATTAAAGAGAGAAAGAGATACCGGAGACGAAGAGGTTGGGAGAGGGATCAGCCTCAGGCTCTTTCTGAGGGGAAGGCGGAGGTGTGAAGTTGAATGCGGAGGTTGCGAAAAGACGATTTAGCCCTCGAGGAGCCACCGCCGCCATTACAGCTGCTCTCATCGCCATTGCCGAGTTTGGAGGAGGGTTTAAGCTTTTACTTTTTGTGGTTTTTCTGTGGCAATTGGCAGATGAGAGACAAAAAGAGGCGACAGTGTTCGAGTTTGGAACCCTCGCTCTATAACAGTTTGCACTCGATTATATACGGAGTACTGGCGTTGGTAAATGGTAACACAAACAACGCACCACGAACCGAACACAAAAAATTAGGTTAATGTTAAGAGTTATTTGTCAAAATTAGGCATTGCCAATGGGGTAATTCCCACTTTCTCTTCTTGATAAACATAGAGCGTTTCTCATGGGGGTAATTTGGTCCGTTTTTGCTGGGATATGAGGGTATAACTAACATTTTCATCTAACTGCATATTTTCATTGACTAAAGCCGTTTAGTCTCAATTTTGACGGAATATCAAGGGTTTTAACTTGTAATTTTTAACTTGAACAACCCAAAGCGGTGCCGTTTGCGGCGGTGATGCAGACTTCGTATGTAGGAGCTTCAATGGAGGACGGAAAGCTCAGAAGCATCTAACACCTATCCTTAAAGGGTTAGACATATCTTTACACTGTGTTTGGATAAAGAAAGGGGAAGGAAAAGAAGGGGAGGGAGGAGAAGAGGAGGGGAGGGAAAGGAAGGGGAGGGAAGAATTATAAGTTTTCCTTCCAAATCTCTCCATTGTTGGAGAGATCAATTTCCTACCAGTTAATCCCTCCAATTCTCTCCCCCTCCAATTCCCTTCCTCCCTCAGTTGTTATCCAAATGAAAGATATCTCATCTCTCCATTTTCCTTCCCTTCCTTTCCCTCTATTTCCTTCAATCCAAACACACCGTTAATTTCAATATTTTCTTTAAAGTTTTTCGTTAAATTCCGGCAGCGAAACCGCCATTCAATGGAGGAATTCGAGCTTTAGCGGTGAAGCTTCAATGGAGGACAGTCACTCTTACCCTTTGGGTTGACCATGCCATAAATTTTACCCTTCCTTATAGGGTCTTTAATTTGATTTTGGCAGCGACGCCGCCCATGTTCGCCGCCGATGATGGTGGTTGTCGTTGGTGGAGACGATTTAGACAAAAGAGGAAGAAGATGGTGTTGGTGTTTGTTGTCGGTGGAGGTGAAAGACAAAAGAAGAAGGTGATGGTGTTGTCGGTGGAGGTGAAAGACGAAAGAGGAAGGTGATGGTGTTGTCGGTGGAGGTGAAAGAGTGGTTTGCTCCGGTGACATTGAGAAATAACCTTGAATAGTTGAATATGAATGATGAAATTTCTATTTTCTACTGTGGGGTTTAAATAACTTTGACAAATGTTGAACAAACGTTGTTAATTTTACCGTCTAATGTTGTCTACAATGGTCCACCTCACCAGATTATAATACTAGTATTTGTTTACAATTCCCAAAGCGTTTTTATTATACTGTTGCTACTAGAGAAGCTCTTCTTGTTTCTTAAGAAGAGCAACTGTCCTGGGGTGCCCCTTGCAAATGTGCCAAGTCAATATGATAATCTATAATATATAGATAGTGTAAAAAAAGTTTGTGGTATAAGAAAAATGAGAGACTTGAACTTTTATCCTGTGAGGAATTATTTTATGACATTTGTAATACACAATCCCGTGAGGAAATTGTATAAAATATAGATAGTCTTAAATATAAATTGTGTAAAAAAGTTTAAGGTAGAAGAAAAAAGTTTGTTAGGGAGTATAAAATAATTCTTCAAATCACCTTATTATCTCTTATGAAGTTATGAAGATTTGAACTTTCGTTCTTAAAGGTTCGAACAAACATACCTGTGAGTTGTAACAACTTGATATTAACATTATTTTTCTGTTTTGACAGCACATAATTGTAAGATAAGAAAGATATTAACACTTTCCTAAAAAAAAAAAAAAGATATTAACACAATTGATATTGATTAGCTTGTTGGATGAGTCAGACAAACCTCATCTAATCATTTTGAAGGTTAGGATCACGATTTATAAACATACAAATTCTTAAATGGACCTAGTTCACACTAATTTATTGTGGACCACTAACATTAGAGAAAGTATGGTTGTTTTATTTATAAAAAAAAAAGGGTCACTATAATTAAAAAAAAGGTCACTATGTTGAAATAAAAATCATTTTGGTTGTAGTAGTATTTCAAGTTCACAATATTATTAAACGTTGTAGTAGTTTTAATAAAGGTTACTATGTTAAAAATAATGGTCACTATGTTCAATATAATGTCAGTTGCGTGTGTATAGACCTCGAGTCCACAAGAATATTATTGTGGACCAGGTCCACGCAAGTCTTTCTGTTATAAACAAGACTTATCACCAAGTAACATAACTGGAATCCTTATTTTGATGATAACCAAGATTTTGACATGTCATTTGAAAATGGAGAGAATTCTTACCTAGCTTATAGTCAAAGTCTTAAATTAGTATGTGATTCGGGCATTACTTTGGGTGTTATTTTATTTATTTTTTATTTTTTTTTCTTCTTTTTAATCTTAAAGAGTTTTTTTTTTTTTTAAAAAAAAAAGAAACATTAATCTTAAAGAGCTTGAAAGACTTGTTGATACAATGGATTATTTTCACTTTTATGATATTTATATATTTATTATTTTGATAGATTCTACAAGATTTATTTGTAGCTGAGATGGTAATAGAGAGAGACAAGGTTGTTAGCCGTGGTAATAATTGCAAGTTATCAATAAACTGTTAGCTATTACCTTTAAAAATAAATACTTTCTAATATTTTTTTTCCCATTAAAGCTAAGGGTGTCCATTCGGTTTTCGGTTTGGATTTAGTCCAAATCCGATCCAATCCGAAATATAATTCGGTTTTCAATTTTCCAATCCGATCCGATCCGAATTTCTCTCTTGATCCAATCCGATCCAATCCGAATTACAATTCGGTTATTTGGATCCGATCCGAAAATCCGAATTATAATACATTATTTTTTTAGCGCCTAATACAATTATAAAAATAAAGCTTTACTATAAATAAAAGTCTTCAAAATCATGATTAAAATACATAGTTCAACGTCAAGTCATTAATTAATTAATACAAAGTCTCTCTAATTTATTTTATGTAGTATTAAGTATTTGAGTTAAACTTCAAAATATACAGAAATCCATATTTATACAAGCTTAATTTTACAATTCGGTTTTCGGTTTGGATTGGATCCAATTAGGGTTAATCCGATCCAATCCTAAAATCCGAATTTCCAAAAAATCTCAATCCGATCCGATCCGATTTAAAGTTCGGATCCGATCTGAATTGATAATTCGGTTTGGATTGGATTGGATTTCGATTTTTATCCGAATTATGGACACCCCTAATTAAAGCTATAGAATAAGGCCATGAGGGTAATGCTATACACAAGCATTAAAAACACTCTTGGATATTGTATAAAATTAGGAATTCATAACAAAACACGTGTAGATCAGTGTAATTAGTGTGAACTTGTCATGATTTTCTAAATTAAAACAATTTTCAAGTGTATTTTTAATGCTTATATGTAGCCCTAAGGCATATGTATAGCATTTTCCATATATATAATAGGGTAATGCTATACATAACCCTTAGGGCAATATATAAGCATTAAAAACACTCTTGTTGAACACGCTTTTACTCAATAACTTTATCCAAATTTATATCTATATCTATACTTAGTACTTAAAAACACAAATAATCATCCTCATCATGCCAAATGTAAATTATATTTTTCACCAATGTCACATGTCATCTCATTAAACCTTTCTTGTATTAAAAAAAAAAAATACACTAGCTTTAATTCAATACATGAATGAATGTTTGGTTCACTTTCCCCTAACTTAATATCAATAACAATTACATTCAATTTTCACCCCTTTTTATCTTTTATAAACTATTCATTTTCCAATAAAAAAACATATTATAAAATTAAAAATTATATTATGTATCTATAAACAAACTATGCATTGCACGGGATAGAATGCTAGTTGTTTTTAAATCCATCCATCTTTTAAAAATCATACTTAGGCATTAATTTCTTTACCTTGTTAAAACAATACTTTAATATATAAGGAAATTTTGATTTTTACCACCTTCAAATAACAACTTTGTCGAATTTACCACCTCCAAAAAAAACATTTACTTTACCACCTCATAAAAAAATTAAACATCAGTTTTACCACCAATCACCTCCAACTAACGGATTCCGTCCAAAAATCCGTTAGTGGGGCCTACCTTGCACACGTGTCGCCATATTATTGGTTAAGTTTTAAAAAAATAAATAAAAAAACAAAATAAAAAATAAAAAAATCCCCATCAAGCAACCGGTGGTTGCTGCCACCGTCGGGACCCCCACCGCCGGACCGGCTACGACTAGCCCCACCACCTAACCGTTACAACCAGCCCCCACCACCTAACCGCTACCAGCCACCGTCGGGACCCACAGCCACCACACCGATTTCGACCTCAAAACCCTAGCCACCACCTAACAGCTACGACCAACCCCACCACCTAACCGCTACCACCGCACCGCACACCACATCCGCGCCGATTTCGACCCCCTTTCCACCAATTTTTGACCTCAAAACCCTAGTCAACACCTAATAGCTACGACCAACCCACCACCTAATCGCTACCACCGCACCGCACACCACATCTGCACCGATTTCTACCCCTTTCCACCAATTTTCGACCTCAAAACCCTAGCCACCACCTAACAGCTACGACCAACCCCACCACCATCCAAACCCAGACCAGAAACAACCGCCACCCAGACGCGAAACCACCCCGACTCAAAACCACCACCACCACCCAGACCAGAAACCACGCCAGCCAGACGCGAAACCATCGCGACTCGAAACCACCACCACCCAGACGCGAAACCCACACGAAATTCCGACCAACCGAGGTAGTTGATTTCGTTGCTGGTTGGTTGACATGGAAGATCGGGGAAGATGAAGAAGAAACGTCAAAAATGTGGGCCCTACTAACAGATTCATGGATGGAATCTGGTAGTTGGTGGTAAAATCGAATTTTTGGAAATTTTGGTGGTGGTAAAGTAAATCTTTTTTTTTTGGAGGTGGTAAATTCAATTAAGTGGTTATTTGAAGGTGGTAAAAAACAAAATTTCCAAAATATAATTATAAAAAAATAAAATAAAGTTTAGTAAAATTAATTTCAGTTCAGTTCAATTCAGCAAATTATTTCGTTAAGTACAAATAATTTTTAATAATCCATAAAATTAGTAACCTTAAAGAATACTTATAATAGAGAATTAGCAGAAATAATTTCAATTCAATAAAATAATTTAGCTCAAACAAAAATAATTGTTAGTTTGAGTTAGATATTTTCAATCTAATTAATTAACAAAAAAAATAAACATACATAACTAACTTAGAGTTCAAAATTACCAAAACAAAATGGACTGGACCAAACCAAATTAACCGGTCCAGTCTCTCGATCGAGAAATGGGTCTCGGATCGGATCAGCTTGTTGCATTAATTTATGCATTAGAACTTTTAAAAAGGTTAAGATTATCCTTAACAAGTTAGAATAACTTTAATTTAATATGTTTTTTTACTTCGTATTAGACTTACATAATGTTTTTCTTTATGTTAGTCCCTTTTTTTTTAATAATATTATTGAAAGATTTTAATTTTTTTCAAAAAAAAAAATAATCTAAAACCAGTCCAGTTTCGGTTTTGGACCGATTTTCTTGTTCGGTCCAGAGCTAATCCTAGCTTAATTGATTCGATCTAAAATCTTGAAATTAAAATTTCTAATTTTTGTTTAGGTTCAATTAGGTCTTAGGGCATGTTCCCTTCAGCTTTATTCCAGTTTAGTTCAGTTCAGTTTCTAATTTCCTTATCTCATAAAATATTTTTTTCAGCTCTATTCAGTTCATTTCAGCTCCAATCAATTTAGTTAAGCTTTAATCAATTTGGTTCAGTTAAGTAAATATTCCCAACCCAAAATTAACTCGAATCAGTAAATATTCCAACCTAAAATTAACCCGAACCATTCGAGTTCCGACCTTGTTTTGATTCTTCCCAATTCCCATCCATGTTGCACCTCCGTAAAGATAGACCATCACAACTTTAGTAACGTGTACTCAAAGCACACCTCTTCACACATACGTATATAAAAACCACATGTCCACGTTTTCAAACATTAGCTTTACTCCCAACCTCAACTCCCATTTTATATATTTTTTCAAGCAACCCAGAAATTAATTTCCAAACTCTAGTCACTTTTCATTTTTTTTTTTTTTTCTCATCTTTAAAGCTAAGACAACAAATAAGAAAAAACACATTAATTTCTAATATAGTTACACATTTTAGGATTTATGAAAATATCATTTAATTAATACTTAGAAAATGACGCCTTCATTAAAATTTGCTCTGTTTTTTGCGGCAAATTGCTTATTTTTCTTCTGTGTAATTCCAATTAATTCTCAAATTATTAGTCGAGCTGATTTTCCAGATGGGTTTATCTTTGGCACCGCTTCTTCAGCTTTTCAGGTTTTTTAAATTTAATTTCCTTTATTCTAAATTTTATTTTCTGTATTTTTTCTTTATTTAGATGACCTTATTTTAATCTTTTTTATTTAATTTTTGGTACGTTTTTTCTGCAGTTTGAAGGAGCTGTAAATGAAGGAAATCGAGGGCAGAGTATATGGGACACTTTTTCAAGGCTCCCAGGTTTTTTTTTAATTAATTTTTATTTCAGTAATTTTCAAATTTATTAATTAGTTCTAAATTTCTAGCTAACTTGTTAATTACTCAATTTATATTAAGAAGTTCTTGTTATATTGACTATGATTGCATTACGAATTAATGAGCATTATGTTTATGTGCTCTAATTGCTTCATTTATTTGTTAGGGAGGATTTTGGATTTCAGTAATGCAGATGTAGCTGTTGATCAATACCATAGATTTAAGGTAAGTTTTGTAAAATTTGGTTTTTTTTTTTTTTTAAATTTAAAAATTATTTATAAAGGTCAAATGTTTATGTGTTCTAATTGCTTCATTTATTTTTTCATGTTCTAATTAGAAACTTAAAAGAGTTGTAAGCTTGTAACTGTTTACGATAGGAGAGAATCTTCTAAATTATATTTTATGGGAGTATAAGAAAAAATAGTCAAGACTTAGGTGTTAGTTTGATTTGTTTGTATTAATCGTAGACAAACATGTACAGTCAAAATGAGAATGTCAAATACAGAAACAAGGGAGTATTGTTAAAGGCGAATCTTATACTCTGCGTAGTACTCCGTAACTTATAAAGTTATAAGTATTCCAATTTGATTTAACTTTACAACTAAATTGGAAATATCAAGAAAAAAAAAATAGTGTCTTTGTTTTTTGATGGTAGACTCTGTGTGGATATTATTAGTGACGTTAAAGAGAAAACAATTATTATTAATGATAGGATTAATGATTTGATGAGGATTTATCAAGAAAAGAAGTCCAATTACTTGACATTCTTATTTGTACTTACTCTGCATTGATTGTGATTTTTGGAAGGAAATGTTAGCTAATCTTTTCTCGAGATAGTAACATAACTTATTAAAATATGATATAAGAAAGTTTAGTATCAACGATCAATATCATGGTGCATATAAATATGATCTGCTACTCAGTTTGCTTCTCAATAGACTTAAGTCGCATAACTAGAGTCCATAAAAGAGAAATGCAAAAGTATGTTATTTTGGTAGATAGCCTTCGCTAAATGTTGCCTTACAGCAAAATTATTCAAAAAAAAAAAACTCTTTTTTAATGTATTAAGGACTTGTGCTTAGCAAGAATAAGTTGAATTAGCACATTCATTCCCCCCATTCATGATAATGTATAATATTGGTTACCTAATTTGAATGATTTCTAAATGATTTCATGTTAATCATAAGACTTTATGATTAATACATTTGTATAATAGTCAAGTAGTGGTTTGTTTCATAATAAAATAACATAAATATTAAAATGTAATAGTCCTTTTGTCAAATAAAATTCATGTGTTTTCTTTTCATATATGCTGGATTCATTGAACAAATTTAAAATGAATAAGTACACTTCAAAATTATTAACATCTTTTTCTTTGTTTTTATTCCCTGTAAATGGGCTCATAATAATAAACAGAGCGATGTAGAGTTGATGAAGGATTTGGGAATGGATTCTTACAGATTTTCGATTTCATGGCCAAGAATTTTTCCAAGTAAGATTTCTATAAAAGTCTTAACCAAAAAATAAAATTATGGTTTAAGAGTCCATCATCATACTTCACCTTTCTCTTCTTCATTCTTTATGTTTTATTGATGATTTTGATAGTTAGTCAAAAATTTTCTAAGGCAATTGAGAAATAAATTCTAACAATTATTAATAACAAAATTCTTAATTAATTTCTTCCTTTTACATCATAGATGGTACAGGAGAACCAAACCCGGAAGGAATAGATTACTACAACAATCTTATTGATACTTTGCTTGAGAAAGGTGACTAAGTTATAACAATGAGCATGTACTCTCTCCATTCGGAATTAATTTTCAAATTTGTAGTCTAATCTAAACTAGCTTGTGATAGCTAAATCCGGACAGATATAATATGTAGTAGTAGATTCTATAAAAAGTTATTACTCTATAACGAAAATGGCATTAACAAAATATCTGTCAATCAGGAATTCAGCCCTATGTAACCTTGTACCATTGGGATCTTCCACAGGCTCTTGAAGACCGTTATGAAGGATGGTTGGACAATCAAGTAATGTAAGTAACATTAATCCAATAAGTATCAATGCACTTGTAAATTAGTTGTGATCGAATGGTATCAGAATTCCGACTAATTTGCTTGATGGACCTAATCAACTTGCTTCTCCAGTAAAGACTTCGAGAATTTTGCATCAACATGCTTTGAAGCTTTTGGGGATAGAGTGAAACATTGGATCACCTTCAATGAGCCTCATGGTTTCTCAATCAGTGGCTATGATTCTGGTGTACAAGCTCCCGGAAGATGCTCATTTCTTGGTCATTTGGTTTGTAAGAAGGGGAAATCATCCGTTGAGCCTTATGTGGCAGCTCACAATATCCTCCTTTCTCATGCTGTTGTCTACCATACTTATCAAAGAAAATTCAAGGTAATCACTTACTTTATACATTCTCTTCGTAGTAAGTTCTTCCTTTCTAAATTTTTCTATTGAAATTAACTTTTTTTGGCCTACTATTCTTTTAAGTTTTGAGCCATAATTCCATTTAACTTTTTATCTTCCTGTTTCACTCTCCTAGTTTCCATGCAAATTCCTGATGTATAGATTAAAATATGACCGGGGGAGTAATTATGCAGTATGTGTCTCATTAGTTAGGATTCATGAGGCAAAGACATGAAATGAAACGCTGTTTGTTTTGCTAGGAAAAACAAGGAGGGTTAATTGGGATTGCATTAGATGCAAAATGGTATGAGCCAATAACAAGTAAAAAAGAAGACACAGATGCTGCACAACGGGCAATGGATTTCTCGCTAGGATGGTGATTACTTCAACTCTGTACATTGTTTTTTTAGTAAGATTGCTCTGCTGTAAACTTAATAACACTAAAATTGTAAAATGATCAGGTTCCTTGATCCACTGTTCTTTGGTCACTATCCAAAATCAATGCAGGAGCTTGTGGGAAGCAGGCTTCCTGAGATCACACCTGAGATATCCAAATTACTTACCAAGTCATTGGATTTTGTTGGCATTAACCATTACACGACATTGTATGCTCGAAATGATAGAACCCGATTCAGGAAATTTGTGCTTCAAGATGCCTCAACTGATTCTGCAGTCATTACTTCTCGTAAGAGAACGACCCCCTTTATCATCTATTGCTAATGATGCAAAGTTGCTAACTATATCTTTGAATATGAATAATTAATTGCTACCTTTGGATGCAGATTATAGGTTTGGTGTACCAATCGGAGAAAGGGTAATCTCCCTACATATTTCTGGCATATGTACTGCATTATTTTCAATCATAGTCTTTACCAATGCTTTTGGCAATTTACACTGTTATGCTCTTCTCTTAGGCTGCTTCAAGGTGGCTAGCCATCGTGCCATGGGGACTGCGTTCATTGACAAAGTATGTGCGGGATAGGTATAGCAACCTACCAATGTTCATTACTGAAAATGGTAAACTTTCTGCTACTCTAGTTTTAGTTCATTGTATAGCATAAACTCTTATAAAGTTACATGTTTACCGTAAACAATTAGACTGATAAAAGTTTAAATTGTGCTAGGCATGGATGAACAGGATGGACCACATGTAGCCTTAAACGATGCCTTGCAAGATGATAAAAGAATAGGTTTTCATAGAGACTACCTCTCAAATCTCTCTGCTGCAATAAGGTATACGCGAAATTCAGTTCTATGCATGTTATTGTTAATTTCTATGTCTACAAACGTGCTAATTTGATATTAATGTCCAGGCAAGATAACTGTGATGTACGAGGATACTTTGTATGGTCTTTGCTAGATAATTGGGAGTGGAATCTTGGTTATACGCATCGGTTTGGACTTTACTATGTGGACTACAAGAACAATCTAACAAGAATACCTAAGCATTCTGTCAAATGGTTCAAAAATTTCCTGAGGCTCGATGATAATAGTCTGCACAAAGATTCCTAACTTAATTTGCTTTGCTTCTTCTTCCATTATGTACATCATTCGTTCTTGAACTTGTATATACATTGGCGCAATGTACACGACAGGAGACACAGGACATAGAGAATACTGCGAGGAAGAAGAAAGAAACTGTCAGTGATCGAGATTGGTACCAATTTTAGGGTCATAATTAAGATGCCATTGACAGTTGATCTCTTCATGAATTAAATATGTGATTATACAAATTTCAAAACCAATCATTTTGAAGTTGTAACAACTTATGTACATGTACTGTACACTTGAAAGAAAGTCATCATACTTTACACTTTAAAGAAATTCATATTTGGGTAGGAGAAGCCCTTTGTAACAGGCAGAGTGATTCATGATCAATAGGCATTTCTGTATTTTAGTTTCGACGTAGACGACTAAGAAAAAATTCTTCTAGAGTTACCAATAATCATTCTTCGAGGGGGGACTTCCAGGGTTTTGTGTTGTCAATCAAACGAACACTTGTACTTGATAATCATTTATATGCTTACAAATTCGAAAGAAGTCAATACTAGTATTTAATTTGGCTTATTGTTCTTCTATAAGGTTCTTTGTCAATACAATTGTTCAACTACAATACACGTAGTAATAATTTTTTTTTTAAAACCAAACAAAATCTTAAAATAAGGAGTGTGAGCAGAAAAATAAACATACAAAAATGGAGATGCGGGGGATCGAACCCCGTGCCTCTCGCATGCAAAGCGAGCGCTCTACCATTTGAGCTACATCCCCAACTAATAATATATATTCAAATAAGCAATAATTAAACCTAGGTTTATGCCCCATGATTGAGTTGCTTTTGCAATAAATCTATATTATAATTGCAGAGTAAGCACTAATTAAATCTATATATTCAAAAGCTAATGAGCGCCCCCAGGGCGTTGGATAAGATAATTAAAATGCAAATATTAGAGTAAAATTAACATTAATTACACCGAACGACGCGTGATTTTGTCATGAATTTCTAACTTAATACCATTTCAACCAATATAATTTATCCTTATCTAACGCCCCGGGGCGCTCGCTAGCAATATCGAACTTGGGGGGTGTTAAATACCGCCATCCAAAATGATCAAAACCGCCCTCATTTCAAGCAAAATGTCGTTATTACCCTTATTAAACCCTAATTATTTTTTTAGTTTATTTTTTACCCTTTTATTTTTTACTGCCCCATCAAACACCACAACCACCACTTTCTTTCTCAACAACCACCACAATCACACACTTAGTGACCACAAATCAGCGGAAGGCGGCAGTAGGCGGCGGTGGCCTGGTGTTTTCATGGCTGGAAATTCGAGAAAAGAGGTTAGTTTCTGTGTTTTTTTTTTTCTGTATTTTTTTAAAAAAAAAAACTCGATCGCTGGAAACCGGCGTGTAAAACCGATTGGCCAATTGCGGTTAACGGCGATCGAAACCGGTTAACGGCAGCGGCAAACCGGTTTACCACGCCGGTTAGGTACCAGCGACGGTGGTTGTTTTTTTATTTTTGTTTTTTTTTAAATTCGAATTAAGGTTACCGGCGATTGTAACCTTGTGACCGTCGCCGTTAACCGGCGTGGAAAACCGGTTGACTATCACCGGCAAATGGCAACCATAACCGGTTAATGGCGGTGGTCACAGGTTCACAAGTCACCGGTAACAAGCGGCTCATTGTTCCCCGTGGAGTGCTACCATCTTCTGATACATAATTGTTGGTTGTAGAACTTCTCTCATTCTTGCTGCCTTCGGCAAATTTCATGCTTACTTTATGAAGCCCTTTTGCCTGCTCATCTGCATCCCATTCCTTCATGCAATAGTCTTCTTCTGTAACACCTTGTTTTGGACCGACTAACAACAAATGTGAAAAAGTTAAATATGAAATAGAGGTGTCAAATTCTGTTAGCATCAAGCGTCAGTGTCAAAATTCATCAATGTGAGACATCATTGGTGACCCTAGGATAAATGTAGAGAAACATCTTACAATATGTATACAAATATTTGACGTGTCTAGATAATTTCCCAAGGCCACAGAAAAACCGAGCAAGTAATGGAATCATATCAGAAGACATAACCAATCAAGTGAACATCGGCAAAGTTGTTTATATACACATATTTACCACAAAGCTGTCCTTAAGGTTCTAAAACCAACCTCAACAACTTCAAAGAGTCCAAACTCCAAAGCAATGGCAGTCTGGTAGACCTACACATTCCTCATGGAAAGATTCCCCTACATATTTGCTAATTGATTAGAGCAACAAGGCAACCTAACACTATGAGCACTATAAAATATGCTTTCATCTTTGAATTGGATGCAATTGTATTAATATGATCATTTAAAGTTTTAATATTTGTAATTGTAACAAGGAAAGATAGAGGAAAGCAGCTAGTGAAGGTTTAATTTAAGGTTGTGGACTTAAAAGTAGTTTAAGGTTCTAGTTAGATGGAGTCTTTAAGTGAAGAGGACTTGGTCACTGTTTGGTTAGGTATTGTCTAGTTAGAATGGACAACTTTGATCTATTCGGTGTTGACTTTGGGGTAATAGCTAGAATTTATGCATCTAGATACATGGCACAATTAAGCGTCCTTAATGTTGAAAGGAACTCCACATTAATGGATAATGTTGCATATTGGCTGGAGAAAAAAGCTTAAATTGTGGATTTTTTTCTTCTATTTGACACTGCATATAGATCACATGATGCTCCTCCCTGCTCGAATATCAGACAATTACTGTTTCTCAATGATATTTTATGAAAAATTGAGGGACAGTGAACCTGTGAGGGACAATGGTCACAGTACTAATTTTTATCATCATTATTATTATGAAAAAGGGAGGGACTAATATTATGATTGTTATTGTTTTTTTTTTTTTTACAGTTATGGTTATTATAGTTATTTTATTATCATTATTATTATAATTGATTGTAAATATTTTGTTCATTTGGTTATGACGACAGTTGGGTAGGCTCAAAATGACGTTTGATCGTATTGATGGCTCGGGTGAGAGACATACAAGGACTCGTGCAGTGACTGCTTCGACTAGGAGACTGAGGTCATCAGCTCCTATAGCTGATGGCGTATGTGTTGATAATGAGGTTCAGGGACGTGAGGGTGAGGACAAGGAGGAGGAGGAGGAAGAGGAAGAGTGGGACGAGGATCAAATTAATGATTTGATTTACGATGATGAGAGTTTGAGATCTGTTCGACGCCGGGGAGGCAGGGGAGAGCAAGGCCAGACGTCGTCTGGAGTCACTTTGAAGAGAGGTGCTGATGGTATATTTCAGAGTACTGGAGTTGGTACTTCCCGAACTCGTAAAATTCGTGTTATCCGAGCATCGAATGATACTTCATGGCTTGTTCAAGCTCAAATGTCGGGTGGTCCCAAGGATGGTAGTCTCATTCCCAGTTACGCAGGTCACATCGCCACGCAAATTTGGATGGGGCCGCAAAAAGATCGTGACGTGTTAAAGTGTCAAGCTAGGACGCAATGGTGCTCAAATTTACATGAGATGCACAGTGCTATGGCCGATGATGTGTGTAGACGAGTTGATAGTACTGGTTTGAGTGGGTTAGTTAACATCATGCATCATCACATTGACTGGGCCCTGAATTCAGCGTTTGTAGAGCGCTGGCAGCCAGACACAAACACTTTTCACTTCCCGTTCGGCGAGATGACTATTATGCTCCATGATGTACAGTACATACTTGGGTTGCCTGTGGAGGGTGATGCTGTTGTAGAGCAAAGCGGTGTTGCGTCTTTGAAGGCTGACTTTCAGAATTTTTTAGGGATAGGAGCAGATAAACTTGTTACCAAGCCAACATCCATTTGGAATAACGGGGGGGTGTCAAGTCAGGCCATATATGAGAGATGCCTAGTAGAGAGAGGTGATGCTGATATCCAGGTGCAGGGTTTCTTGTTGTTAGTTCTAGGAAGCACTATTTTTGTCGATAAGACTTCTCACAACCTTCACAAGCATCTAGACGAGCACGACTTCTCACATTGTAGATATGTCTCTTGTTAGGGCTCTCATTCGGAAACTTCTCTTTCACGGCTGCCATAATGTGACGCGGCTTGGCTGCAGCAGAACGCATGTCAATAACAAGCGTCTTTGCAGCTGGACTAAGACCACTAACATGTCGGTGACCCTCTCGATATACCATGAGCGGATGGTTATGCATGCCTTTCAAGCCCTTTTTAGATTTAATTATCCATCCTTCCATGTCCCGCAAACATCGAGCCGAGATTTGAAACGCACATTTACAGCCCTTATTCTTCGTGTTCTTCCGTGTGGCATTTTCACGGTCCCGATTTTCCCCTCTGTTTCTCTCCCCCCGATCACATTTCATGTAATTAATTGGAAGCCCATTTCTTTGTTTCTTATACGATGAATTTGTCAAAAAGAACCCTATTGGAGTGGCAATTTCTCTAGCCCAATCAACAGCTGCTTGATAGGTCGGGAAAACTTCTCTAGTCTGAAAATGCGGGCTATAATCAACACCATCACCGCCGTAATCTGATAATGACGCCTGATACAAATAAATAATTCTTTTAATTAATAATAACGAACAATATAACATTAATAATTATAATCATAATTATAATAATAATCTTAAATAGAATAATATTTATTTATATTATTCATACTAGTATAAAAGTTAATACAATAATATTAGTTTTTATTAAAAAAAAAAGCACCGTCACCACACTCAACCGGAGCTGCAAACCGGTTGACCAACATGGGTTACCGGATTTTACCACCGGTTGACCTTGACGGATAACCGGATTTCAGCACCGGTTGCCCACGGTAACCTGCGTGGAAAACCGGTGGACCAACACGGCCAACCGGTGGTCAAAACCGGTTAACAACTGCGGTCAACCGCAGCATAAAACCGATTTCCGGGGAGGTTGACCGGTTTCGTGCACCGGTTGACCGGTTTCACATCAAGTTTTACGGCAACATATATGTATACAACTAGCTAATTTTTAATTTATTCCAAATTCAGCATAATTTATAATCATATTAGTATACAACTAGCTAATTAAATAAATAATCGTACTTGTTCAAAAGCCGAGGGTTGAGATTGCGGTTGGTTTTCCGACGAATCACCGTGATTATCATCCATTTCCGATAACTTTTCTGTTCGTGGTGGTGGTCAATCTATTAGTGGTGGTGGTCCGATGTAGGTAGTGACGCGGTAATTGTAGTCAATTAATTAAAGTTAAATTTTTTTTTTTAATAATTGGGTAAATATTTATTAAGGGCAAGAAAGTCCCTTTACTTAAAATGATGGCGGTTTGATAAAAAACGTTGGCGGTATTTAGCAATCCACAATAACTTCCACCCATTTTATAAAAAAATAAAAAAATAAAATCCTCCAAATAACTTCCACTTCTACTATTTTTTTCCCTATTAACGCATACTATCTATTTTACTCAATATCACAAAAACACACACACACACACACAAAAATTACCTATTTTAATATATCATCCAACAATTCGCTTTCTATAAACCCCAAAATTACAA